GTAATTTCCACCTGTAGGTATGGTCCGTCAATATTGTGGCATCTCTCACGATGTCACCAAAGTTAGGGAGGGGTGTCATGCCGTGCGTACATTACATAGTCCACACATTTTTAATGGAGATTTTCGGACTTTCTCAACTATTTTGCAGTCTTCATTAGTCATCATTTTGCAACTGATTCTTCTGTATAGAATCGTCACGTTGCCGCGCCGCCCTATTTCTTCTTTTTTATTTTCCTACATTTTTTACAGCCGTAGGCCGCAGCCAGAGACGGACTGGCCGGGGTGGCGATGGGGCGATCGCCCCACTTTCATCGGCCAAAAGGGGCCCCGGAGGGGCCCCTTTTGGCCGATTTGAAGGGCCGTATTTCGCCGTTTCGAAGGAGCGCCCGAGGGCTTTTTCGGTTCGTCCTCGAGAAAGGGCCCCGAGACTCCTGAGAGGACAGGACACTTTATTGCCGATTCGGAGAGCGCCCTGAAGGAGCTTTTTTATGCCGTATCTAAGGGCGTTGCATTTTGAGAGCCCTTTTTTCTGATTCGAATAAGTCCAAAGGGGTCCTTTTTTGTCATTTCGGAAGAGCCCTGAAGGACTCATTTATTGCCGATTCGAAGAAGACTCGATGGAGCCTTTTTTTGCCGCTTCTAAGGACCTTAAAAGAGCCCCTTTATCTGATTCGAAGGAGTCCTTTTATGCCGTTTCCAAGGGACCATTTATCGCCGATTTGAAGAGGCCTTGATGCGGTTTTATACCGCCTCTAAGGACCTTCAAGGCACCGGGCTCTTTATCGCCGATTCGACAAAAGGGTCCTTTTTGCCGGGGGCCCTTTGGTACTGATTCAGAGAGGCCTCGAGGGCGCATTTCTATGCAATTTTGAACTTTGGAGGCCCCTAGTAGGGATTTTTGTCAATTTTTTGTTTGTGTTTTTATTTTCATTTTTATTTTTATTTCGATGGCTAAATTCTGAAAACACGTATCTCGGAATCCGCATCATTAACTCATGAACCCTGAGACTCATAAGGATACACGCAAAACATGAGCATCCTTACGAGTCTCAGGGTTCATGATGCGGATTCCGAGTTACCTACATGTTTTCAGAATTTAACCGTCGATTTATTCATTCATTACGCGTCATTTAACTAGTAAACGGCACTGATTTTTCTATGAGCAGAGCGAAGAAAGGATCCAATAAAACGTTAAAAAAAAAATTAAGACAGTTGTCAATTTTGGCGGCTAAAAAGTACATTTACTTAAAAAAAACAAACGAACAAAAAAATCCGAGCTGTGTTTTTCAGAATGTGTTCTTTTTAAACTGTCACTATTACTATTCTACTTGATTCTATGTATCTTCTGTATACTAATTTAGCTTTGGCACAATTTTTCGTTGGAAGAGGAAAATAAAAGTTGAATATTCCAAGTATACAACGGATTCTCATTTTTTCATCCAGTTTAAGAAAAATATACTAAGTTTTGCATTTCTGGTCTCTTTTTGGATAATGTTTCAAAAATAATATTAAAGAATCGGGTCTAAAATAGCGTAAAATTCATTCTAAAAGGGCCTAATTTTCAAAATTTCCCGGGGGAGGGCCCCCGGACCCCCCTTCTACTGGGGGCCCCCCCCAGACCCCCCTAGGGGCCCGCCCCATACTTAATTTAGGGCCAGTCCGCCCCTGGCCGCAGCCTCGACGGCCTATGTTTAAGTCCCGACCGGATGGTAAGGATTCGATCTACATGAGACGATCGAAAATGGAAGTCGTGAATCGATCGACAAATAATTACAAAACCGGTGTCGATTCGATCGACATGAATCAATCGAAAAACGAAATCCGATCGACAACCGTGAATCGACCGACAAAAGCCGTGAGTCGATCGAATTTTATCGATCGAATCGACGCCGATAGAATCACGTCGTTCGGTTCATGTTTTGGTTTTTCGATCGGTTTATGTCGATTATCGATAGGTACCGGTTTTTCAAATTAATTTTCGATGGATTGACACCGATCGATTCACGTTTTTGTTTTTCGATCGCTTCATGTCGATCGAATCGGCACCGGATTTTCAATAATTTGTCAGTCGATTCACGTTTTCATTTTACGATCGAATCCATACCTTATAATTCCAATCCCACCATGGCAAAGCGTTCGCTATGAAGTCGCGCGCCTGGTAAAATTTAGCTCTGCGCAGTTGGCAGCAGGTAGACCCGGACGAGAGAGGGGCTCCTAAAACTATTCTCGATGGTGCCAGCGCTCCCGGCGACAAAATGAATCATTTGACAACTTTATCTCTCTTTGCTATTTTTTTTTTTTTTTTTTTTTTTTTTTTTTTTTTTTTTTTTTTTTTTTTTTTTTTTTTTTTAATTCTAATTTTTAATATTAATAAGCGCTGTTCTTTACCAGTAAATTTTTTACATTTAATTTCTATTCGTGAATTTCAAGTCATGTTAAACCAACAAGATCACGTATTTGAGGCATAAAAGTTTCAGTGTATGCTAATTGACTTCAATTTTTTTTTATGTCTTGGATCAATTCATTTTCTTAGCTTCATAGTTGGTTTTAATCTTTTCTCTTGGGTAGCAAGTGTAATGAATATTTTTTTCTGAGTCATAACAGTTACAGAATGTTGTTTTTATATTCAAGCAGATGTGGCATTTAAAATGTAAAAGTTTAGAAAGAATTACTGCTTACCGAAGAGAACAACAGAACTTGTTAATTTCTTGTTTTAATTTTTCATTTCATTTTTAGCAAACAAGAAAAAAAAAAGTGTTGGGTATTACTTAAAATGCCACATCCATGGTCCTTGGTTTTTTCTTAAAAAAAGAAGGAAAGCAATTTTAAAACTTTTAGATTAAACTGGTTACTAGGTAAGAAGTCCTCCCTATTTTTAGATGATAAGATTTTACTTTACAAACAGATCATAAGACCCACATGGGCATATGGTTGTAAAATTTGGGGCTGCGCTCCCAAATCTAGTTAAAAATTATTGCAATCAATCCAGTCTAAAACTTTAAGAAAATTGCGTGGTGCCGAAAAATATGAAACCAATAGAGACATTCACAAGGACCTAGATATAGAATCTGTTTATAAATATATTCAGAAAATCTCACAAAGGTACGAAGACAAGCTTCATTGTCACCCCAACGAAACAGCGATTGAGTTACTTAATAATCTAAAAGAGGTTAGAAGACTTTAAAAAAAGACATTTTGGGAGCTTGTCACCCAACCCTGACACTGATTTCTAAGACAAAACCATTTTTAGGATCAAATTATTTTCGTCAACTCATCTCATCTGAAACTCACTCAATAATCTATTGAATCTTTATGAATGTCTTTACTGATTCCGAGTCCTAAACTCTAAATATTTAAAATTATATAATTACCTAACTGTAGCTAGTCAATTATTTTACCACTTTCTTTCTTAATTCTTGTGATATTAAGTAATTAGTCTGTTGTTACTTCTACATACATTACTCATAATTTAAGCTAATTGTATATATTTCCTGTATTGAAAGCTTGCAATAAAATAAATCTCTAAAAAAAAAAAAAAAAAAAAAAAAAAATCATTTTTAGCAAACAAAAAAAAAAGTGTTGAGTATTGCTTAAAATGCCACATCGATGGTCCAAAGTGTGAAACTACATACCTCTGCTGCTTTGTTTCAACATTTCTGCTCTTATTACATTTTTTCATATAGGAATAAGCCAACTTTATAGTTTACAATTTATACAGAACATTCTGCCAGCAGAAAGGAAAACTCAAGGAGGGATTCAAGCAAGTACGTTCACTAATTTGAAGTATGACAGGATGTCTGCAACGTCGCAAACAGATATACTTGGTTTAGCATTATGGCCATTGATGTGAGAATTTAAATTATGAAATGTTCATTCCTTTTTCTACCCAGTATATCCCCCTTTCCCTTGAGGCTGTGACTGCAAAAGTTTCCAAAGAGTAATGTTAGTCGGATTGGGCTGGAAATCAGATTTGGAGGTTTCCGCAAAAACTTTCTCTAGTGTTTTAAAAAATAAATTGCTGGCAATTTAATTTTTTTTGTTATTAAAGGTCATGAAGTTGCATTAATCTGACAGTTTCTTGTCCTGATCATGGCAGTTTGGAACTTTAAATGGTTTTTTTTTACATGACAGAATTTTATGAAATACATACCAACTTCAAACCAATTTAACCCTTGTTTGATGTCATTCTTGGGCCGTGATTGTCCTGAGAATTTCAATGAAGAATATTCATTGCTGCTCTGTTATGAGTATACATTTGTGTTTCATACCACAGCTTTAAAAAAAAAAGAAACTAATGTTTCAATCGAAAATAGCTTTAAGTAACTTTTTCTGTTTTACATAATTTATCCTCATCAGATTACACTAAAATTCTAACAATTTGGTAAATTTTTCTGTTTGAGTTTTCAAAGTTTTAACTTCAATCTAATGGTCTACATTAAGGACTTATCCCCCGGTTACATATCTTTTACGCGGACCATTTGATAATGGTCAAAAACCGAGAATTGAAAACTTAGAACTGAACAAATTTCTCAATTTTTCAGGGTTTTAATATCAACTAGTTGAAGGAGGAGACAGGATATTTTGAAGTTATTATAACAAAAGATATAATGTTCATTTTTTGCATGGCCTGCAGTTAAGAAAAATTAAAGCTCTAAAAGTAATGGTTATTTGATATTGCTAATAAGGTTCCTTTCCCAATGAACAGTGACATATCGATGGCCAAAGTACGAGACTACATATCTTTGTTTCCGATGATGCAGAATTTACTAGTATGTGTTCCTATTGCAATTTATTTTTCTCAGGGAAAAGTAGTCAATTGTCTTCTCTGTTTGCAGAATATTCTATATAAATTTCAAACTATAAAGTTGACTTGCTGTTCTTCAATAAAATAAAATAGGAAAGGAAATTTTGAAACACTGATTTGGAGATATGAGATTTTGCACTGTGGTCATTAATAAGTATCGAGATGGTATTTTAGGAGGAAAATAAGTCACTCTAAAGGCACTTTAGTAATAATATTTTTGTTTAAGCAAGAACATAACATGAATACACAACTCATCTAATATACAACTTACTTTTTATAAATGATCTTATTTCCACTGGAAACAATTACAATGAGTTTTAAATCAGTCTTTGGATTCAAAGCGGTTGCAAGACCAGTCACCGCACATCAGCGGTAGTTTTGATCTCTCATTTGTGGACAAAAATACTCTTCAGGCACAAATTGCACATTTTATTTGCTTCTTCTGGAACAAAGGATTTAATAGTGTTAGAATGGTTCAAGGGTGCAGAGAATTATTTAACACATCACGATTTTTGGAAAACTTCTCCAGTGATCAAGGATATATTACAGCTGTGAGAACTTTGAATTTTAAATCCAAATTGTACCTCGGAAAAGGTTCCTGAACCTAAACCCAAACCAAACCTTGAACCTTTTTGATGCAAATAGAGGGTTTTTATTTACATAGATACTAACAAAAATGCAAGTACGTACTTTTTAAACTTTCACGCAAGTACCCAAAAAATTGCAAGTTTTAGCTAAAAACTACAAGTGCCAGCGGGTGCCTGTTAAACTACAAAGAACTGTATGAAAATGGTTTGGAATTCCTGATTCCTGAGCTACACTTGAAAGTACCGTCCGGTTTAAAACTTTTTGCATAGCCCTTGAAAATACTGCTTTCGCATTGATTCCTCATTTGCTCAATGGATAAATTGAAGCAGAATTACTCGATGAATTACTTTTTAGAGCATAATTGTAATATTAATTCTTTTAAATTAAAAATGGTTACTTGATAATGGTAATGGTGACTTAAATGGTTAAATCTCTTAACGCCATGCAAAGGAAAAAAAACTAAAGGCTCGGTGGACACCCAGCTAATTCTTTGGAGATAAGTGTTACTATTTTTCCATTCAGGGAGTCAAAAATTGAGACAATGGAAGAATCTATATACATATTTCAAATAGATACACTGAAAACCAATGTAGAAAAATGAAGAGATACATTTGTAATCAAGACTATAAAATATTAATAAATAGGGGCATAAATAAGTTGAACGGCTTTTAGGAAAAAATTTTGACGGATACATTCCTTGCTGGCTCTTTGGTACATTGACTGTCATGTTGAATAATCCTAGCTTCTTATCAGCCAAAAATCATAAAAGTTCATAAACTATTAGAGCCCTTCAAAGTAGTACGACTGTTCGGCAAAGAGATGAGATGTAATTTCTGATGATAGGGATATCATAGATTTGAGCAATTTTGGGATAAAGAATTGACTTACCATGAATATATGACAAGGCAGCATTCTTTGCTTGCAAGATAAAATAGCACTCTCTATCATCTGACATCTTTCCAACCACCCAATAATCGGATAATTTCATCAATTTCACCACCGTTTCTGCGGAAGCAGATAGCTTACAGCATCTGTCAAGAATTCAAAAACTCAAATAAATTAGAACATTTAAGGGCTTTTCCAGGGTTAGACCGTGGTAGAATTTTTTTTACGTAGTTCAGGAGGACCTGGTCCAAACATTCAAGAAGGAAAAGTTTGTCGGGCAATTTGCTCAGAGTCAGGACCAAATATCCCTGACTATGAAGTGGTAATTGGATGGACCTCCAGGCAGCATGACAACTGAAGTATCTCCAAATATATTCCTCCATCAAAAGTTCATAGAATCAACCATGAAGTTAGAGATTAGTACATTCTGTTATATTAGAATTAAGGAGTCAATTTGACTACCCCCCCCTTCCCCCCAGAAAAAAACCAAAAACAATGTAGGTCAATCTATAATGAAAACACATAATTTTCTAGATTTGAGCAAGTATTAAGAATTTCAAAATGAATTCCACTTTGCATAATATTTTTCTCCGACAGATAAAAGAGACTTCTGAAAAAGAAAAAGAAAAAAAAAAAAAAAAAAAAAAAAAAAAAAAAAAAAAAGAGTGTAATATAGTATTCTAGACCAATATTTTTGGTTTGGTAAGACTGAGCGGATAACTTAAATCAATCATTCCTTTATATAACCTTCCTCCAAAATAACTATTTTATCAGAGAAAATTTCGCAACACCTCTCCTCGACCCGTTCATGCAGCAATGTTTCATAGCACAGCCGCATAAAAGTCGACATTAATTCTACATGGAAAAACTTAAATTCAAGAGTAATCTAAAAATGTTTTTGCCGATTTTGAAAATTTCTATGTAGGTAGGAAAAAAAAACTATATACTGTCGTTAAATTTATGCAATTCCTCCCGAAGAAGAGTAAAACTTTGTAAAATTAGGACAATGAAGTTAGATTCATTTCCGTTGCTATTTTCGGCATTTCATTTTTGCTTACCTTCTATTGTGTACAGCAATATCCGTGACCACTCTCATTACTTCCTCAGGTATTGACAACGAACTTTTACTTTGAGCGGTTAAAGTTTTCACAGCCAAATTCAACTTATTGAAATACAGGAATTTTTCCATTGGCGCCTGCAAACTTTGAAAGGTTGGCGCAACCGACTTGATCTTAGAGCTGAGACTCAACAGCTTATCTCCTAAGAATTTGTCCAGTTTCTTGAACAGCTCCACAGTTAATCTTTCCTTTTCTGCAACATGATTATCGATTAATGATTATCACTCGATTGATTGATAAGCGTTTAGGTTTGTATTCTTCCACTTAAAATTGTTAAAATGAAAATTAAATTACATGAGATAAATATGTACAGAAAAGCAACAGAGATGCTTATAGAATAGGTAGACAGGGTGTCTACTAAAAAAGGCTGGCCAAAAATCAGTACTCTTACAGTACTTTCTCAGTACATACATACATATAAGTCGCTTTACAGCACTCCCTCGCGCTCTACGACTCCTAACCTCCAGTGCTCTCTTTCAAACCACAAATCTTGGGGGATTGAGCACCTTAACATTTCCGCTTCAATCCCTTCCCTCCAACCTTTCATTTGGCGCCCTCTGCATCTTCTCCCAGGAGGAGCCCAGTCAAGGACCTTCTTCGGCAACCTGTCTCCTGCCATTCTCTGGACATGACCATACCATATGAGTTGTTTTGTCATAATGTCATGCATGATGGTCTGCTTGGCATCCATGATCTCCCGTACCGTCTCATTCCTGACGCGATCCTTTCTGGAAATACCAGCGGATCTACGCCAGAAGTCCATCTCTGTTGCCTCTAAAACCTCCCGGGTCCACTGTTTCATCGGCCATACTTCACACCCGTAGGTTACTATGCTCTTGACAATCGCGTTGTAGATCCTTCTTTTGTTCTCTTTGGAGATCCTTTGGTCCAAAAGAACTCCATTTAACATAGCGATTGCCCTCCTACCCAGCATATTCCTCTTCTTGATGGCCTGGTCCAATCTTCCATCCTGGGTTAAAAACACTCCTAAATATTTGTAAATATCGCAGCTTCAAATTTGCCACCCATCCTCTAATTCTATACTTTGCTGATTCCCGCCAACGGTACATTCTTCGGTACAACTTTCTCAGTACATTCCGAAGAAATTCAGTACCTCTTCAACAAAAAAAATTCAGTACTTTCTTCATATCTCACTTTGACGAAATTCGAAGAATTTCAAAAATTTTAATTTCTCGCTCAAATTGGGACAAAAATGCCGAAAGTGAAACAAATTCTGGACCTTCTGCCGGAACTTCCACACTTTATCAGTGCTTCCAGCCCGCCCTTGAAAAATCAGTACTATTTTCAGACTTGTAGACACCCTGGTAGTGCTTATTACAGAAAATGTATAACTTTTTGCAATAAATTATAATACTTTCAGGTGGACAATTATAAAGGAGGGCTATCCATAAAATATGTAGCGCTGTAAGAGGGAAAGGCGGTAGAGTAACATTACACAATACTGTTTTTATATGTTAAAGAATAGATACCTAGGACACTAAAGCATTACAAAGGGGCGGAGGGGGGGGGGCGTCAAAAAATCCCTTATTCAGCAATACATATTGGATAGGGTGCAGCCAATTTTCAGTCTCATTGAGTGTATTTGCTGAAATTTTTTTCTGAAGAGAGTTATGCCTAGCAGAATACAAATTATTAAAACAAGAATTCGTCCCAGGATAAGTAAAAATACAATATTGTATCCAAAATATACTTATTTCCATTTTTTTCCTTCTACCCTGATGCGGCAGACATGGGAAAAATCTACAGTTGCTAACGTTTAAAGAGAAATGTCTTACTCGTACATACTAAAAGGTCCACCTGAGTCTATCTGTTGTTCCTTCTGCAAATTTTGGTCTTGCATAAGATTTAGAAAAATGCAAACCTCCTTACCATTTATTAACATGCAGACAGTAAAATTTATTGCTTCGTAAACATTGAGATAGTATTTAGTTGGAGACTCTGAGGAATGTAAATAAATAACAGGTACACTTTCAAAACTGGCGTCTTCATCCAAAAAATTTTTGGGTCCTGTCAGAAATCTGAAAAAAAAAAATTATTTGGAAACGTCAAAAATCAATACAAGAGGTAGTAAAATTGATAATTTCAGACAATGCAGATGTGCGTTTAAAAATCAAGGAGTCCTGAAGTTTTCAGCAAAAAGGAGCTGGGTTTTCATGAAAGCTAACATTCTGCACGTTATTTGATGGGCAGAATGCTCTATGGAAGACACTGTTGTTGGATTCATTTTGCTTCTGTTTCATGAATTGAATTCAACCATGGTGTCTAGTTTTCTTGGCAAAGCTCATTCCCTGATTTTTTTCTGATTTTCCCTGATTTTCAGGAGCTCATTCCCTGATGAGAAACCGAAGTTTTCTCCCACTTTCCCGGGATTTTCTTGGGGGAAAGAATAGAATTTTCTAGAGTTTCAAATATGAATATCAATTTTAATTAATCTTACAGCCATTTATATGGCTTACATGCAAAATTTTAATTCAAAAAATGTTCCTGATGTTGATATTTTCTGGTCAATGGAAGCTTCTACATTATTTTGATGATTTGAAACTTTAAATGCGGCACTCAAGAAGTTAAAAAAAGCTGCTCAGGTGCAATAACATTCGCCTTAATAACAATAGATACTTAACATTTCCTGACTGCAATTCACTTTTGTGTACTACCGAACTCACGATTAGTGTTACATTCATTAATATTCAGCAAATGACTGCACTAAAAAGATAACCTGCAGAAAATTAAATTGAAGTTAGAGGGAGAAATTGCTCGATTTCTCTCTTAGTCTGTAATAAAAAATTTAAAACACAATAGCAAATTAGCGCCAAAATCAGCCGAATACTGCTCGGTCAGATTAGACCGCCAAATTTGAAAATGAAATGATCCCTGGGTGGGTGGAAAAGAGATTCCCAGTTTCTGGAACAGATTTCCTGATTTGCCCGGTAAATTTTCATTCCCCGATGAGTCCTGGTTTCCCTGGCTTTTAAAAAACTAGACATAATAAATTTAACTTTTGTATGGATCGAGGCCTCTTTTCTTTTTGACAGTCACAAATAATTAATGTACTAAATTAGTCTTTGTCGGACGTAGAAGTCAAGAAACAACCGAGAAAGTCAGATTTTGTTCTTCTTCCCTATTATCAGTAACTCTACTTTAACGCAATTTAATTACTTTCAACATTAAAACTTTTTACGCAAGAAAAAGCAACCTGAAACAGGTTATTGCCCTGAATGGCAGAGATTCTCACCAAAAAGACTAAACACAACAAAATGACTTACCTACACACATTCGTAGTTCTGGCACTATTTCTACCTAGGTTTTCTGACTCGGCATCAAGGTGACTAGATTCTTGTAGAGATCTTACATACAAACTGATAAGCTGCATTTCAGAGTAATCTATTCCACTCCTGGAAATGAAAATAAGTGGATATGGTTCTGAGTTTTCAACAGAGTAAACACTGTAAAAGGAGTGGATATTGGTTTGTTTCATCGTAAGGCTAACAATGCAACAACAAAGTTTAAGTTTTGTTTCAATCTAAAAATTTTGAGCCTTGAGCAAGGCTTATTATGTCGCAGATTTTTCTCAACACTTCCATTTTTTGAACTGCCAACTTCAGACCATCGTAACTCTTGTTCTTGTTTTTTTGGTAATTTTCAACACTAAAAGTTCTTGAACTAAAAGTTCACTAAAAGTTACTCTGTGCAGCAATGTGGACGCATAACTTAATTATGACTTTTCCAACATTATGATCCATATTCCTGAAAATGTTCACACACATAAATAAATCTCTGCTTTCCTACAGCTGTTTTTTTCAGACTCAACTGATAATAATTTCAGTAATTATTATTTTGCTGAGGAATACAAGAATTTTCTCAGCCTTTCAAGAATACTCCTTGAGAATTTAACACAAAAATATAGGGTGTTACTCGTTTTTTTTTAAAAAAAAAAAACCGAGGGCAAAATTTGGGAACACCGCAGTTGAGAGATATGATTGCAAAATTTCCTTTCCTAGGCCATAGCGAGTACTTACCAGACTAGATAGTTGTCGTATAAAATGATAGAGGATTCTACTTCAGGAAATTCAGCTTCTAGTAGATTTGATGAGGACTGAATGTGCAAAAACCTCAATGGATCTAACGGTAAATACTGAACTCCTTGGAATAAGGCCATAATATCCAGATTATTGATTTTCAATGTTGTTAGGTACTAGAAATAGACAGAGCACGGTTAATAAGAAGATAAGGAGTTGAGGGAAAGTAGGCTTCACCATTTTTAGAGGCTTTAAACTTTAAGAGCCACAGATGAAAGCACGATCTCGTACTTTGAATTTCCTAAAAAAACACAGACAATAAATTCTCAATTCCAAATAAATAAATTGCTTGAAAAAAAATAAAAGAAATACATAAGATTTCACTTTTTTGGTTCACGTCAGAATTGCACCTGCAAACCTACACACTACTTTCTAGAAACTCCCATTACAAGTGTTCAGGCTAAGGAACAAATGGAACAGAGAAGGTACTGGTTAACTTCCGTTTCACGAGTTTAGCAAAGAGAGTAATACATCCCTCATATTTCTTTAGTGAACTTGGTTTTCTTCTTTACTTGTGTTCATCATGATAAAAATGTGAGACCTACGACACCATGAAAAATGTTAACTTGCTTTCATTATAAGATTAAGGAGGAAAAACTAAAGGTGATTTGATGGACGCCATATTTTGTGTCAGAACAGCATGCAATATATGGCATTTGTTGGTTCCATTTTTTCAGCTATTCATCATTTTTCTCCAATTTTGAGATCGCAATTCTGTTGTCAGGAGACTAAAGCACTCACTTACCAATTTTAACACATACATTCAACATAATAAAGGCATGGTTTTTACAGAGAGAAAACATCGCATTTGATACTGATATCGAAACTGCACTCGAATGCGATATTTTCTCTCTAAAAAAACCTCGCCTCTATTACGTTGAATTTCTTTGTTGAAATAGGTAAGTGAGTGCTTTAGTCTCCTGACAACAGAATTGCGATCTCAAAATTGGAGAGAAATGACGAGTAGCTGAAAAAGTGGAACCAATTGATGCGATATATCGTATGCCGTTCTGACACAAAATATGGCATCCATAGAATCACCTTAAAGTAAAAGATTAAAATTTGTCTGTAATTCATTTCATGCTTTGTTTAGTGACTTGTTTTCTGCAATTTTCAATTGATAGCTTGAACATTTTGATCCTTGTTCAAAATTGAAACAGTACAAACAGTACTTACCCGAAAATAAAATTTTTCAAGCTTAATCTTAAGTTGTTTCGTCTTTTTTCCTTCTACAGATGACGAGAATGTTCCAACAAACATTTTGGCCATATCATAGGCAAGTTTTAGGGCAGCCAGATAAACAGCATCTTGCACATCATGCTCCAAGTACTCGGCTTCATCAGCTATTTCTTTGGGTTTTATGGCTGGCAAATTTAAGGTCTGCAAACAGAGTCAAACGTCTATTAAAATAGTCTTGCTAAAGTCAAGATATCAGAAGTTAAAAAGAAGCCTTTCGAGCTGATTAAAAAAGATTGAGACGGCAGTGCTCGAAAAATTTGAAGTTGAGACATTGAGTTTCCCTCTGTACCATTTAGAGAGATGGACCACCATTCCTGCCAAATTCTGCGCCAATCCAATCAAATCTTGCAGACTTAAAACAGCCTACAATTACTAAATATATGCATCCGATTGATGTGAGGACACAATAAACTTGCTAACCAACCAACCTTGCACATATATACATCAATGAATTCAATAGATACAGTGTTTTAATAACAGTACCTAAAAATTGCGAAGTTGCAAATGATGAGAGCATACATAGATTTACTTGATTTATCCTCAACAGGTGTCGATTGATACACAGTATTAAAAATAATTTTTGACAGAAAAATACTCTCATGGTTTTTCATTCAGACATTAATTACATAACTTTATGAATAAAAAAAGTCTGTAGATACTTAATTACCATGACCATCCAGAAATTTTCTTCGGGCTGTAAATAGAACTGCCGGGTCTTTTTAGTTCTGATAGTTTCGCAAGGTTTGTCCGGGCTGAAAGTTCTGCCAAAACACACAGAAGAGCTGGTTACTTCATGTTATCAGAAATTTTTTATACATTGTCAAGACATGCATACTCAGAGCAAATACACTAGAAATTATTACGGTTAATTTTTTAATTTTTATATGAATCTGGAGTCTTGGTGTTCTGGGCATTGTGTTCCTCAGAATCATAACTAATTAACTAAATGAGTCGGGGTGCCTCCTTGAGTTTTTGAAGAGGGACATTCAGTATGAATGCGCTGAGCTCTACCGATCAATTGTTACTTCCAACAAAATAAATGTGAACCAGTTTAAAATGCTCTTCAGCTGACCACACTGACATTATATCCAGAGATGATATTATCTCGTCACTAGACCATAATGTGTCACACATGAAATTGACGGAAACAGTTAGAGCCGTGGTGACATGATTGCAAAATAATGCTGAGAAGCTTCCTTTAGCAAAGTAAATTTCTACAGCAAAATGATGGCGCATTTTGTAATCAAAATTTTAGGAAACTGTTTTCACATTTGAAAGGTAGTTTAAATCGGAGGTTTGAATTTCTCAAATTAAGCCATTGATATTTGTATTAGATACTAGAAAAAAAAAAAAAAAAAAAAAAAAAAAAAAAAAAAAACACTTACTGAGCGAATTTGAGAATTGCCTCGCTGAAGCCAACATTTTTGAGTTGTTCATCAATAATAATGCTTGGTGGATAGTAGAATAAGATTTTGTTCCTCTCCTGAAAAACAAAGTGATATTCTGTTTTTGAAATATGTTTAAATTATTTTAAAAATGTTCAACAAATTAGAGAAAGAACTATACATACCTAGCAAAAAATGCTGCCAAATTTTGGTTCTTTCCTTTCACATACTTTTTACAGCTAAATGCTTTTTATTTACTTATGCACTGCAGTACAAGAACAGTAATAAAATTGGCTCTAGGCAAAGAAGAGAAACAGCAACTGCACTGTGAGTATGAGAAACAGTTTGACACAAAACATTAATTACTATTAAATGGGCTTTGAGAGACCCACATGACCACCCCAGCCATGCTACAAGTATGGAGTCCCCTTATACCCCATAAAAACAATAATAAAATAAGTACAAGGGCATCATAACAAGTATATTTGATGCAAACATTTCATTTACAAAGCAAAAATTCAGGAAGGTCATAAAATACTCTGGCTGGTAAAATTATGAACCAATTTAAAAAAGAGAGCTATATTTCTTCCCTGGAGCTATTCCTTCATCCTCCAAGCATATGCCATCTGGATAGCCGAACATTGGCGATGATGTCAGAATGATAACTCACATAAAAGTAATTGGTTGTTTGGTTGAGGTAGGAATGCTATTTTAATTTTAAATGATTCTCGTAGAAGAAAATGCAGGCAGGCCAGCTGTTCGCCTGAGGATGAAAGAAGTGACAGGTACTACAATTCAGCTACGTTTTCATAAAGCCTTGTCCACACGAGCACAGTTTCCAAAACTTTGGGCAAACTTTTTTCAGGAACTTATTATAACCCAGCTATAACTTGTTCCTTGAAATCCCCAGTTTGCAGAACAAACTCGTCCAAACTGCACTCGTGTGGGCAAGATTACTTTTTCACCTAAATGGCAACTTTAGCATTCTGATGAGCAACAGCATTTACAACAGTAATTGTCAAAAAATTATTTCAAGTATCTAAATGTAAACAGAGCTCCGAGTCTGAGAGCTACTGTTTGGGACACAACCTTGCAATCACCATAATGGTGATTTTCAAGTCACATCTATAGAGCTCACGCATCGTATGTTGAGACAAACGTCAATCTCCGACTAGCTCTGAATTCGCACCACTCAACAGGTTAATACATGTAGTAAGGCGGCACCACTGGTGAATGGTGAGACAATACTTTGACGTTTGTCTCAACATACGATGCGCGAGCTCTAAGTAAAAACTAAAAAAAACTAAAAAAACATTTGCTTGCAGATTCAATTTCAGTTAGAGCTAGTTGACTTAAGAGACATCAATTATTCCATCATGTAATAAACCGACTTGAGTCTCATTTCCGTATGCCAGTTGGCAATTTGGGAGTTGCCAAAATCGGAGAGAAATTGCATTGCACGAGTTGGATCAAAAATTTAGGGCGATCGACTTACCTCTTCTTCTTTCAAACTCAAGGTAGAGTTGAAAATGTAAAAATTACGGATGTTTATGTCTGTTCTGTCTGGCATTTTCCACAAGCATATTCGCTTTCAGCAAAAATGAGAAAAAATTCCACGGGTGATCAGAGGGGATGAAACGTTCATTAGAGATGAGATGTCACCTTTTAGAAAAAAGCGGCCCTTCCTCAGAGGTAAATACAGTAATGAAATGGACTCGGCGCTGCTGTAAGTAACCACTAGTTACTCACAAAAACACTGAAAAAAGACATTCCGAATTATTGTAGAATGAACAAGCGAACAAGAGCATCATTTTGTTTACGTTTGAAACTTAGACATTTGGAATTTGGGAGTCGAGTGTTCAGCAGAGATTCACTCCTGAATTCCGAAGGCAGGACTTACAAAAAATCCTGCCGAATTTCCATCGCAAACTGTCTGGTGCGCAGTCGGGAGCATCGATGTTCCCTTTCTGCAGACTCCAGGCACTCCGCACCCGGAGAAGGATTTTCTGTCAGTCCTCGCCCTCGCCTCAGGCAGAGATTCAGCCCCTGAGCTCTGAAGGAAGGGCTGACAAAAACTCCTGCGGACCAAGACGGAATCTTTTAAAGTGAAACGTCCCTTTATGTAAAAGAAAAATCTGCACAATTGCTCTTATTTTATTTATAGGGTACGGAATTCGAAGTAAAACGACCGTAGGCGTAAGGAATACAAAAAATACTAATAGGAAATTTCAAAATTACTCTTTGGGGCCGTCCATAAATTACGAAAGGCAATTTTTCCGATTTTAATGACCCCCCCCCTCTTCTATCGTTTAAATGCATAATTTAATAAAAAAATGGTGTTGAAACAAATCGGTATTGTTTTAAACATTACTAATCGCTGGTAGGAGATCATGAAAAATAACAGTTGTACCTACCTATTGAAAAAATAACAGTTTTTAAATTCAAAAAGTTCAAAAAAATTACATTTTAACCAAAAAACATTAAACGTCTAAAAAACGAAATTTGGACCAGTAAGTCTTTAAATTAACGGAATTTGGAAGAAACAAAATTTTTGCGTTTGGCTTACGTATAGGCATAGGTAAGGCACCTCTGGACCTCCTCCCGGCTCCAGGTACGTAATTTGCGGACGGTCCCTTTGTAAAGGCATACTTACATTTATTTGTTTATACTGCCCACTAATGTTACATTTATTTCTGTCTTCGGAGTCTGCTTTTTCCTCTAAAAAAAATTATTGGACGGTCTACGTAAGATTAGGGCCCTACACCCTAGGTCCAGAGGTTTCTCTGCAAGAGGAGCCCTTTTCAATTACGTGCGCAAAAATGCACGCCTCACTCTTATTTTATGGGAAAAAGTATTTCTTTACGGCCACTCGCGGCATTTATGACATAATGTGTAATATAATGACGTCAAAATATTTGCGAACGGGAGCGCGAACCGCTGACCTCCCGCCTCGGAGGCGAGCAATTTACCACTGGGTCACAGCTGTAATTGTAAGGAGGCGACATAATTGCTAATACATAAGTGCCATTGAAGTTCTCTCTTTCTCCACCAGAGCTGAGAGCATACACGCATCGGTGTCACGCTCCCGTTTACTGATGATCTGCGGCAGGATTTTCTGTAAGTCTAGCCTTCCGGGCCAAGAGTGAATCTCTGCTAAACTCAAACGCCGGAATTTGGATATTTAGAGGTTAGGAAACCTGTGGACAGTGTGTGTTTTTGTTTTGATCAGTTACAGTTACAAGTGAAGTAAACTTTGTCACGGTGCTCGCAATGTCGTAATTTCGTAAATGTAACGTTCAAATCGTCCAATCCAGTTTCCATAAAGAATAAGTATCAACTACTACCACTCAGTTTGGTACTTTTCCCTAATTGCGTGCGAGCTGAAAGAGTTTATTGTCTTCCGGGACGCTTCATCACTATCATCAGTTTCATCACTGCAGGAATTCCAGACACGCGACTCCGTTCCGTTACTTTCTGTGTCACGCTGACTTTAGGTAAAGTGACACTCCAAATTTACTATCCTCTTTTATAACGCTTTTAAGGCAGGAGGACGGACTGGATTCTACCTAATGTTTTTTCTAAATATATTTTGGTTCTTCAATCAGATGCTCGAGTTCTAACCATGCTTAGATTTGAGGTTAGGATTTGCAGGATCTTCAAATTTTTTCTGAATTTTTTAAACTTTTCGCAACGAAATTTAATGTTTTCAGACCTCCAAACAATACATATTTTTGCAAAGGCTTAGATGTTCATCAGAAAATGAACTTGTCATCACCTCTGAAAGACGTACAATGTTGTCATTACGATTATGATTAAGTAACTTTAGTGACAGTTTTCTCAAATATCTTGCAGAAATAGCAGCATTCACTCATAGAGAATACAGCGACAAGAAGGTATATGGCGAAAAATAGAGCATCTCGGGCATCTTTGATTTTTTTGATGACCCAGGATGGTATGGACGAGTTTTATCATCGATTTACTCAGATACTTACCTATGGTGTGGTTTAAGGGAAAGTCATTCCATACCCATGAAGTAGGGATGTCGATACTTATCCGATACTTGCAAAGTATCGATACTTATCCGATACTTGCAAAGTATTGATACTTTCGATCGATACTTGACGACACGCGGCATCGATACTCCACGATATCGATACCATGCAGTATCGATGCCAAGACCCCAGTATCGACGGTATCGATACTTAATCTGATTTGGCCATGAAGAAGGCCTCTTTTTCTTTTTTAAAAAATTCTCTCCCCACTATTTCACCTTCATGATGCACTGTGAGTACTGTGACAAACGACCGGAGTAATCAAGTTTCTCAAGATGATTATACTTCAATAAAAATGTTAAAAGCTCAGTTCGATAAGTGTAGTTAAGGGCTCAAAATAGTTGACTAAGGACGCGAACAGGACTTTTTCGAGAGAGGCGTACATCTGGCGGGATTTAACGGCCGACAGACATACGCACACTCAGAATCACGGCATAATTCAGAAATAGTATCGATGGTATCGATACCTCATAAGTATCGATACTTCAGCTCGATGCTCGATACCGGTATCGATGCTTAAAGTCGATACCAGTATCGATACCGAGTATCGATACTTCCCTGAGTATCGACATCCCTACTATGAAGTGTTTGAAATAATATCGTAAGTTGATTTAAGCTGAAAAATCGGACGTTATGGTCCGTTTATCTTACTTCCAATTCCAGATTTTGCTGGACAGGTTGTACCAACCTTCGTCACGAGGTAAACAATCCTCAAGATGCAAACATGTCCTTTTTTTTCTCTATGACATCCACTGTTACAATTTACAGTGAGGCACTGGAAACAGGAATGTTTGAACAATCAATGGTGAAACTAACAGACAATGTATCTCGGTTTGCAATGTTGTAGACTTCCTATCATAAGTACTTATTTTTTAAATGGCAAACTACTCAACGTCACTTTTTGAAAACTATCATGCTCTTTCCTCTCTTTGCCAATGAAACTCTGTGAAAAATTCATGAAATGATATTGATTTGTTCTCCTTTCCAAAATTAAAATGAAAACAAAGATTTTCAAACACTGCAAACGTTAATCGTAGACTGGTAGTTTCGCCGTTGTCATGTATCTTCATGGATGACAGCTGAAAAGATGAGGTTATGCTTTCACACTGTAGGTTGATTTTTATTCTATTTTTATTTCTTTTGGTTCCACAAGTGAATGAAGTGTGTGAAGTGTATCAGACCATACTGTGAATCATCTTCAGTTCTTTCCTTCAAGCCCATTGCTTGCTTTCTTGTTCGGGTTGTGAATGTTTCTAGATTTATCATTTAGAATCAGCACAGTGCGGTCATAATTTCAGTAATTTTCTCCCTACTGCATCAGGCTAATTTATCTGCTGATCCTTTCAGGATTAGAAGTAAATCATGCGAACGCCCTCTTTTAAACTAGACCAAACGGATGACACACTGCAAATCACAATCAAGGCCCCCTTTGCAAATGTAGCTCAAACGGAGATAGATGTCAATGAAACTGAATTTATTTTTTCATCCTGGCCATATTTCTTGAGGTAAGTGTGGACATCATACTAATCTTGAACCTCATAGGTATGCGTAAATCTGTCAAAGGTGAAGAGTAACTTTGTCCAAAATTTAATGAAAGTCAGTTTAATTGAGGCATTGGATGCAGAATGAGTGCCTCTGAGTTTCAGAATCTCTGCTGCCAATTTATATTTTAGAGAGGAAACTCAAAGAATAAATTTTCTGAAATTTTTTGTCCAGAGCATTGACAAAGCATAAAGAATTTCCGTTAAAGTATTGATGAATTACATACATTTGTTTCGGTCATAATGGATGAAACATCAGCAAAGATTCAGAGACACTGCAATAGAGATGTGCCCCTTCTGCACCTGGCGCTTCAATCAGATAAAAAAAATAATCCAGTTGAAAATTTTGTTGGAAGGTTAAGGAAGTCAGGGGCTTCGGAAATTTTGGTGTGAGGGAAAAACATGAAAAGTCAAGAAATTGAAAAATGAATAAAATAGTGGAAATCATATTATCATTACTGTTAAGGAACAACTCTGGAAAGTTCCCAGTGCTAAACTCTTGGCTTTCTTTAAATTCCATAACCTTTCCGTTCACTTTGCTCTCAAGTTCAAGAAGAAAGCAAAGAGAGAATGCTGTTATACTCGAACTAATAATAAGTCTCAGAAGAGAAGAAGTTGGATGAAGTCCTTATTTCCTTGCATTTTTTTATGATTGTAGGTGTTGCTGAAATTTTTCAAGCAACTAATTTTTCACCACTAAAGAAATGTTTTTTTTTTAAAAAAAAAAAAAAATTCAGGCTATTTATTATTGCATGGTAGTTGTTTTCATGTTGTTTGATCCATTATTTCTCCTATTTTATACATGACAGAAATGATTGTGTTATTCAATATGCAGGTTGCATTTACCTGGCCCAATCGAAGAGACGGACTCCTCAAAAGGAAAGTATGACTTTGACACTGGGTCATTTTACTTTGAGCTATCGAAAAAAAACAGAAATGAATTCTTCCCACATTTGGATCTCATCGGCAGTTTCCTAGCTCCAAAGACAAACAAGCCCTTAGTTAAACCAAAAATTGAAGTGCTTTCAAGTGGTGAGTACCTATTTCATCCTCTTCTCGCAGTTGCTCAATAATAACAAGCATAATTTAATCGTTTAGTACAAAAGGACTCAAGCGGCAGACTTAATAATACAAAAAAAAAAAGAAGTAGAAACTGCATAAACTAACCTATATTAAAGTTCAGATTAATTAATAATGTGATGAATTAATTCATCGCTTTAATATTTTAGAGCTCTAAGATTTATAAGGGGTCAATTAAAACTATTATTGCCATTCTTCTCGAATTTTCATTTTTGGCACTTGAGCCCTTTTGTAACTGACCAATTCAATTGATGACAAGTCGATAATGAAATCACCAAATTTTGTGTCTTGGTTTGAGAAGTTGCAATTCTCCTGTGACATAATTTTCTAAGAGAGGTCTCATAGTCATTTTTGCCCAAACTTTCATTTAATTTTTGTTTCTTCTCCCAACAATCTTCTCTGAAAATGTTTTGGAATTAAGTTGAACAGTGTCCCCTTTAAAAAATAAACTATGAATGAAAATTTACAAACACCCCAATAGGTTGGGTCAGTAGTTTCACCACTAATTTGTGATAGTTCACTAGGAATGGAATCTCAGTGCTGAGAAAAAAAAATCCATGATAGCAATCTTTGTCAAGTCTTTTTTAATCTTTGCAGATATTTTTTTTATTTTTCAACAGTATTAAAAGCGCTTTAAACAGTATATCATCTCATTTAAAACACGTCAGTTAGAATAAATATGCTGGAAGTATTATATTTTAACATCAGAAACATTAAATATCACCAGTTCATACTTAATCATATGTTTTTCTTCAAGTTTATTTCTCTCTGCATAGCATGATTTTCATTTAAGGTGATCAGTTTTATCTAACCAAGGTAGGTCACTCTACGAGAGGTGCCTTAGGAAGGAACTGCTAAAGCCTTTAAAATCCTCTTAGTTCTTATTTTTCCTTCGTTTCTCTGAATTGTTATCCCGCCATCTGTGAAGAATCATGTCTGCTGCCTTTTCACCGATCATCATCACAGCTGCGTTTGTGTTCCCGCTGACGATTGTTGGCATTATGGATGCATCAACTACACGCAGTCTATCAATGCCATGAACTTTCAAACTGTGGTCAACAACAGCAGTTGGATCGCTTTTTGGTCCCATCTTGCAAGTGCCGACAGTGTGATACAGAGAGGAAGCCATGTGGTGCAACATACATTTCCAGTACTTGTCTGATTGAAATTCCTCTGCTTCGCAACCCTTCATATTTATCCGTTTTATTTCAGCTCCAATTCTGGTGAGCGACTCAGTTTTGACAAACTTTTGCACAAATTTGATAGCATCTATGAGTTTTGCCACGTCATCTGTGTCGTTCAAGAATCCAGATATTATTATTGGTTTATCGGTGACGTTGGCACTCTGGAGCAAAATCTGTCCACGGCTCTTTGGTCGCAGCAAAGCAGGAATCACCAATGTTACATCACTTTTTGAATTAATCTCCAGTACTGACTTTTCTGTGTCCTCTAAAAACCCGTAGCCTTTCAAAAACGTGCCAAGAGCCTTACTGTCATTTTTAGCAAAAGTGAAGTGATGGATTTGGATGTCTGGATAGTCCTTTGTTTCAGTAGTACTAATAAATCCTGTGAAGGAATTGAAGCCTAAGTTTGTTAAAGGCCCCGAAGACTTTCTCAAAAATTGATAGAATGAGTCGTAAGCATCCAAACAGTCTGTTTTGTTGATGAGCTGATCATTGTACGCCACCACAATCGGCAATGCAACATGGTCTTGTAAATTTTTACCCACGGGTAAGTCTTGAATAAAATCCACTCCCATCTCCTCCAAGTGCGACTTGGGCCCAATACCAGAAACCATCATCAACTGAGGTGAACCAATTGAGCCTGCTGAAAGGATAACCTCTTTCTTTGCATGCACTCGAACAGTTCTATCATACACAGACAGTTCTACCCCATATGCTTTTTTACTCTTCTGTCGGAGCAGTATTTTTGTTACCGTACGTTCTGTGCTGACTTTAAGATTATCCCTATCTCTAGCCGGTTTGAGGAAAGCTTTCGCTGCACTGCAACGTCTCCCTTGTGACACTGTTGCGCTGAGAAACGAATACCCGGTTTGTGTCTCCCCGTTTACACATGTTAGTAATCCGTATCCCAACTCTGCTGCAGCTGAAATATAATGGTCAGCTAGGTAGTGAGGAGTCGAGTTGAAACTATCCACCGACAAATAACCTCCAGTCCCATGGTACTTCATCAGACCATCATCGGCTTTTATGTAAACATTCTCTACATTCTCTGACTTTTTGAAGTATTTCAGCGTTTCCCTGTGATTCCATCCTGAATTGCCTTGAGATTCCCATGCATCGTAGTCCTTCCGATTTCCCCGCACATAGAACATTCCGTTGATGGAACTTGTCCCACCGAGTAATTTGCCTTTGGGTAGACTGCATTGCTGATTTTTCAGTCCAAGACATGTTTGGTTATCTTTAGCCGTTACATACTGCCAATCTGCAGTAGTGCCTTGTAAAGCACTGTACATTGCCGGCACCTCTGAAAGAAGTGGAGGGTCATCCCCTGCTTCTATCAAGAGCACACGCCAGTTTTCATTTGCCGAAAGCCGATTGGCAACCACCGAACCGGCAGATCCTGCCCCAACAATGATGAAATCAAATTCTTCACCATTTGTCAAGTTGCGGTTGTAATCCTCAAAATAATGTCTTGCGGTTTCGATCCATTCTTCTTGGTGTATTTGAAGTTCCATTTTGAAACCGTCGACCATTGAGCCGGTCACTTCATCGGCTTGTATAGTTCGGAGTTTATTGCGGTCTAGTGAATAGTGGTATGCTCGCACAAACCTGAATGATCACACAAATTCATTTTATTTTATTTATCAAGACTTTTTGACAGAGATATTATCATATCGGTGGAAAGCATTTTTAGGGGATATATAGTTTGTATAGGGAGTCCTTCTATAGACTTTTAACATTGCAGCAAAAGTGAGATGTAGTGAGTGATTTGAGAAAACTTCCAAAATGCAAGACCTTTCCATTTAAACTTCGTGACCTTTGATGGAATTTTTAAAATACATTAAAATGTCCGACTGTCCACAAAATATTTGAGGAAAAGAGAGATTATTGGTTGAAATTTTAAGAAATTTTTGGGCTGAATTTATCTATCGTTTTTACAAGTTGAAATTTGAAGATCAAATCTCAGGTCAACAAATTCTAATGCTGTTATCAGCATTAAATCATAAAGCAAGCTAAAACTTTGCAGAAACACATCTTTTGAAGATGGGAATAATAAACGACCTAAATAAACGTATAAGCACCAGTAGCCTATTGTAAATGTGCTGTCAAACCACTGAATATCATTTTTATTACATAATTATAGATTTTAATCTCCAAATTACTCACCAATAATTGTTGGTAACTAATACTACTGCTATAATCGAGAAAAATGTGGGATACAGCTCTGTATTCTGGACCCTCATTTTTGTAGAGGAAACGGCTCAACCAAAGCAACTAGTCTATCTTGTATGTGAACTTAGAAGGATACTATCAAGCATTTGTCTGTTTTTGTTGACAGTACTTTGACCTTTTCTCTTGTCTTATCGCACCCAGCGCAGGCCCATTATGTAAGCATATTGATGTTTGTAATGTGAGGAGGTGGATAGCCAGCCTTATCTTGCAATTTAAAAAATTAAGGTGTTATTAGACATCTCTTTACAGGGGATTAAGTTTTGCATCACTCATATTGGACCACCGATTATGGTTTAGAACTTGAAGAACTATGATAATGATATAGTAGAAATCCAATGCTGCCTTGCTACCGAAAAACGCCTTATGAACCTTCAGGCGTTGCCAAATTTCCTTTGATAAAACACGAATTCCCTAGTAAACTTATGAATACTTTCCTTCCAATTTTTCAGATAATTTTGTTCGCAATTTTACCTGAAGCTCCTGAAAATTTCAGGGAAAAATATTCATAACCTACGTCAAAAATAAACATTTTATGGGAGGAAATTTGGCAACTCTCGAATGTTCTTCCTTAGGACAGCAGTATGCATATAGGTCCCTCTGATTTAATTCATACTCACATTTACAGTTTCATAAAGCACAAATACGTCTAATTGGACGCATTTAAATCTGAAAGAACGATATCCATTGTAACATGAAATCCATAAGAACACATGTATCATACTGCTCATGTTACATTGGATATAGTTCAGTTTCATTTAAATACGTCCAATTGGTCATCAGATTTCAATTTTTTGTAAATATTATACAACTTAATTTAGCCATGATTGAAAATCTGATTGCATAAAGATATTAATTGTGCTGTTAAGATAATTAGTAGAGAATTTACTCGAGAAAATTTCACTGTTTCAAATGGAAGTGTGTAATGAGCTAAGGTCATAGTATTTTATATTTACAATTTTTTTTTTGAGATGGAATATTGGAGGAAATGAGATTTGGAATTAGATTGGAAAATTCACTACCTTGAGGCATTGTATTATTGTATGGCAGCAATCCCCTTATTTATCATTTATATTTGAGCAAATGTATTAATTTAATTTTATTCATCCCTTAAAAAATTTAGGATTTTCTCGTAATCAATGGACCATTAGATAGGGTACAAAATTAAATACCACAATATACCTCTCGTCTTTAGCCTCCTACAATTTCATCAAATTTCAGATGTCCACAAATTTCGACAAATTTTCCATTTCCAGGAAATTTAGTCCCATAATTTTTGCTTCTAATTGAAGTGCTTAACAACTTTCGGGTTTTACGTCAACTTGCTAAAAACTACCTTCGAATGTGTATGGAAAGCGTTTTTTGTGACTGCCAAAGGAAAAAATGGGTCGTAATACTCGGAGGTAGTTTTTCTGTGGAGGAATTTTTCTCAAGCTAAGTTACTCTTGTCGCTTTGCAAGGATAATGTCAAGAGTTTTCGAGGTTCTGAAAATGTCCTCAGATTTCTTTGGTTTTTCTCTAGGTTTTTAAAAACATTTTTTTCTTCTTCGTAAGCATCTTTTTGTGCTGCAGTTCAAAGGGTTATTAGAAGTTATTTTCCAAAAAATCAGTTTTTCTAGAAAACTGGAGGATGGTCAAATAATTTAAGGTTATTTTCAGACTTAGCGGTTAAAAAACTACTACTCACCCCACCCCGACCAAAAAAAACTTCCGATCTTGTTTCTTGCGAAGCGGTAAGATTGCTTTCCGTAGCTGTTTCTCAGGAAAAATTGGCCATTCCAAAAAACTGGTGACTGGTAGGTACAAAAGGAAGTTATTTACAGACTCAAGAGATCAAAGTATGACAGCAACTTCTTTTCCCAAATTGTGACTTTTTTTTGTTGCATCGTGTGATTAGTCGTCTGTTTCATCCTTTGATTGTGGTGCTCTACAAGTATCAGGTGAAATAATATTGTTGGAATTTACCTATTGCTGTGCACCTGTATTGTATCAAATGTGTGCTGCTAAATTTTATGTACTTGAAATAGCTGGCTAAGATTACATGGTTTTGTCTTCAGTGAGCAATGGCTGTGATAATGATGAGTCAGAAAACTCGGACGAAGAGGAGGATTGGCTCATGGAACAAACGCTTCCAGAGGAAAGTGAGGCATTGTTGCCTACAATCGGTGAATATGGATTTGCAAATCAAACCAAAGGTGTACTTCACAAATTCCCCGTAAGTAGCATCCCTGGTTTCTCTTATTTTAGACTTCGGTTTCTAGGACCTGAAAATCTAGAAATTGCAAAGTTCTCAAGATATCTCTAGGAAAATCAAGGAACCTGGGTCACCAGTCAAAAATTTCTCCCTCTTCTACCGTGAAAACTCTTTGTTTTTCAATTTGTCAATTACTGTTGACTTGGTGCCAGAAAAAAAAAAAAATGATTGATTGTACATTTTAGAGCAGATTGACATGCAATACGACTTGTTTTTCAACAAGACCAGAACAAGACTTTTTAGCATTAACGATTAAATATGTTGCGTAGCAGAGAGACTCCTGCCATTGCTCTAACAGATTTAGGTACTGTTGAAGCTAGGTATTGAGAAGAATGTGAAGAAAAAGGCCCTAAGCTGCAGTTTTTTTGTTTTGAGAATAAGGCAGGATTGGAGTGATGAAGAGGAATACTGGTATCGCCCGTTATTTTATACTGTTATCATAATATGCCAGTGCTTCAGTTCTGAAGGGTATTGTCCTTTCAAATGCATCGCTCTAGCTCTGATATACTGACGGATTAAGCAGTGTTATTTTTGTCTTACCATTTTTCGCTTTCCATTTTTAGAGTGAAGAACTTGCAGAAATATTGGATCTCTTGAACCCAGACGAAGTATCTGCTGGTGAAAAAAAAGAAAAGCAGCTGTTGAAAGAGCAAGACGATTTTAGCGAAGACCACTACCTTGCTGATTTTATGGATCCTCCCGAAGTCCTTGAAACATTTCTAAGCGCAGTTCCTGATTGGACTCACAGTACGTATTTCGCATCATGGGTGGCGGTAGCCACCTCCGGACAAAGTTTAAATTCGACAACACTGGAAAGCCTCCAAACGAATCCAAGCCACGTCTATTCTCAGCAGACTGGACTGAACGCGAATTTAATTTGACACTGGCAGATAGAACACTTGGAGTTGAACAGATGCAATCATTCTCATCTGATTTTGATGTGACTGATTTGACAAATAAGTTCAATCGAAAATCTGCTTTTTTGTTTGGAGCTTTCCAAATCTGCCTAAGATTAGACTAAATCTGCTCTTAATTCACTTCAACTTCTGATAGCTCAGTGACTGTTTTTCATTGGTTTGTATGTTATACATAGTCCTCGTCTGACCATCATTTAAAGCTGTGTTTGATAGAAAGTAGAGAGATGTATGTAGTCACGAAATGCTGATTATAGTTACAGAGATAATGATTTCTTGCAAATGCCCTCACAAAATCTACAAAAAAACATGCTTGCCAAGTACTGGGCTGTTGTGGAAACACTTCACTTTTTAAGACTTAGTTACTTTTATGTATAGCATAAACACCACCAAATAGCATAACGCCAAATGGAATGCTTGTTTTGTGATCATTGAAGGAACCATTTAATTATTTTTTACTTGAAGTGTTATTTATTTAACTGTAGTAATGTGTGTTTTCATTCCAGACGAACTAAGTAAAGAACATTTGGAATTATTGAAAGATCTGGGGAACAAAGAATATCTTTTGTCGAAGCAGGAAGAAAAATCAGTGTTTTTCTCGTTAGTTGACATCCTTTTTGGTTTTGCGTACGATCATCGCACCACGAACGGCACTCCTAGCACGGAATCAGCATGGACTATCAATAAGCTATCAGCAACACTTTCATGGTTAAGAGTAAGATTCTTCTCAATTTTTTTAGATCACGATTGAAGTATACTATATTTTGCATAAAGTGTCTCAGTGCCATGGAAAAACAATTGAAGCCAAAATAGAAGCTTCTACTCTATTGAAATCATTTGTTTGGAAGGTTTGCAACAGTTCACAAGATTATTTGCTTATCCAGGTTAGGTTTCCTTGTGTCTTTCTTTGGGCACACCTGATTACCGTCCTCATAAGAAAATTGCTCGCGAACACAGGAAATTTGTAAACGCACGCTACAAAAACTGTTGCTTACATTTAGCAACTATCAAAACCATTGAATAACTAATCAACTTCATAATAATAATTACCTTCATAATAATACTGGGAGTATGCCTTTATTCACACAGGTTCTATAAAGACAAACTATGTACAATGCATTCCACAGAGGAGTGGATTTTAGACTTTTTTGATGTGCCCATCATGATTTTTGTGCAAATTTACATTTGAATTGTTGATTCACTTTGCCATATCTTTTGTGAGCACCAGACCCATTCTGTTGAGATCTCACAATCAAATTTTTTGACTCAAATAGACATTAATCACTCTATTAAAAATTTCCTCCATGGACTTATGTCTCTTTTTCCACTAACAATGGAGCACCAGATAAGGTATGAGTTAAAGTAGTAAACCGAAAGTAATAGAAACAAAACAAACAGAAAAACGCGGTAACAAACTGTAAGCTAAATAATAAAGTAAAGAAAGCTGAAACTAAAAAATCAAACTCACAGAAAGTAATTAAAGTCGCCTGTGCGTTTCGGGGCTTCCCGGCCACTTCTTCAAGGCTAGATTCTGACTCAGTCGGAATTTAGCCTTGAAGAAGGGGCCAAGAAACCACGAAATGCGTCGGCAATTTTAATTATTCTTTGTGAGTTTGAGTTTTTTAGTTTTAGTTTCGGCTTTCTTTACTTTATGAGTTGAAACTCTTTTTAACATGTTTCCTCTTCAAAATTTTACAATGAAAACGAATCACACAATGGGAAGTCTGGAAATCAATTCCTAAACAAGATATAGGTGTTTACAATTCACATAAGTTAAGTAGCCAAAATACGAATGACATCATTTTTATGATCTATCTTCCATTTGATCTGTGTTAAAAATACTTGTTCTTATCTCGTTCAGGAGTTGGTTTCCGAACTTCCCGTTGTGTGAATAGTTTTCTATTTAAGATTTTGAAGAAGAAACACATGACATTTTCTTCTAGTTTAGGCCTTGCCTAGTCGCCCATCACATATTTTTACTCATTTTGTTTGGTGCTTTGCCTTTTTTTCAGAGTTTCACAAGTTTAAAGGAAGTTACCGTTTCCTGTGTGAGACGCAGTGTCTGTTACCCACTGTATAGGAATTGGGATCTCAGTCTTGTCGTGTTGAAAGACGTTATCAACATCCTAACATCAGGTGCATTTTTAAACCTATTCTTCGTTCAGTCCCTTGATGTATTTCTTCAGTGTCTTTTATGTAATCTGCTCCAAATAGCTCTGAATTTAATTTAATTTTTAACCAACCAAAGGAAAAGATTTGGTAGTAGAGTGTACGCTCACCATTTCAAAATTTTAGTGGCTGAGGAGTTTTTCAATTTAAAGAGTCATTGAGTTAATGAAATTTCAAATCACAGTTAGCAGTTTTGAAGAATCATTAAGATACTAGAGAGAACTTACTGTTGAAAACTCAAAGGAGGGGTATCGATGAGGGCCTTTTTTGGCCCCCTCCTAGAATCTGGAAATTTATGCGGGTTTTCCAAGTTGACTCAATGTAGTTTACGCAAATGATCATGATTTTGCCCATAGGCCACTGGATACGTGTTAAACGGTTGCCTAAACATACGTCTGCAAGCGTAATTCAGCGAAAATTCAAGGTTTTCTATCACTCCGAGCCTTTTTTGACACCGAACGCATCGTCTAACTAAAACAAGCTTTTGATGTTATTAAGGAGGCTTTAGGACACATTTTAACCCTGGTTTGGTTTTAGTTAGATGATGCGATCATAGTTAAAAAAAACTTTTTACAAAAATTGACGTTTAAGGGACATCCGCAAAAATCCTGGGGAAACACGTCTCTCGAACAGTATGCACGCTAAGTATATCATCGAGGGCAGTTATCGAGCCTTGTTAGACTCTTACAAGGAGATTACCTTCAATTGTGTCCAAAAAAAATTGAATTTTCCATACAAACAGCTATGAAGAAAATGGATTTTGGAGTAGTGGAGGCATATTTTCACCAATAGCATAACAATAACTTAAATCCGGAAATTTATGCAGGTTTTTCGAGTTGACTCATTGTAGTTTACGGAAATAATCATGATTTAGCCCACAGGCCACTGGATACGTGTTAAACGGTTGCCTAAACATAGGTCTGCAGGCGTATTTCAGCGAAAATCGGTGGTTTTCTATCACTCCACGGCTTATTTGACACCGAGCGCATCGTCTAACTAAAACGAGCTTTTGATATGTTATTAAGGAGGCTTTAGAACACATTTTAACCCTGGTTTGGTTTTAGTTAGATGATGCGCTCATAGAAAAAAAAAACTTTATCAAAAATTGACGTATAAGGGACATCCGCAAAAATTAAAGTAAATCTCCTTGCAAGGGTTTAACAAGGCTTGATAACTGCCCTCGATAATATATGTAGCGTGCATACAGTTGGAGAGACGTGTTTGCTTTGATTTTTGCGGATGTCCCTTAAACAACGATTTTTGAAAAAGTTTTTTTTAACTATGATCGCATCATCTAACTAAAACCAAACCAGGGTTAAAATGTGTCCTAAAGCCTCCTTGATAACATATCAAAAGCTCGTTTTAGTTAGACGATGCGCTCGGTGTCAAAAAAGCCTCGGAGTGATAGAAAACCACGGATTTACGCTAAAATACGCCTGCAGACCTATGTTTAGGCAACCGTTTAACACGTATTCAGTGGCCTATGGGCTAAATCATGATCATTTCCGTAAACTACATTGAGTCAACTTGGAAAACCCGCATAAATTTCCAGATTCTAGGAGGGGGCCAAAAAAGGCCCTCATCGATACCCCTCCTTTGATCGTTTGATCCAACTTCACAAAACTTGCTTTCTTGAAAAATTCACCTCCATGCCATTAGGTTCCTTGTCCCAAGAATAGTCTTATTACTTATTTTTTTCTGTGAACTTATTTTCTCATTAGCGCTTTTTGATTGCAGGACAAACACAAATAGTGAAGTGTCTACTTACGGTATACTCATTGTTTCTAGAGAGTGAACCTCGGTATCTCTTAAACCAATTATACATCAAAGATTACATAATTTGGGTACAAAAAGTTCCTGATGCTAAACTTGCCTCATTCCGGTCATCGCTTGAATTGGTAAGTCTCAATAAGCTGAAATCTAACACACCAATGAATTAAAAAAATGTTCAATGATGAGTCAAGAGTCCACCAAGGAACAAGACAGGCTCCAAAAAGTGCAACTGGAAACAAAATAAAAAACAAGTTGAGTTCTTGGAAAAATCCAACAGATAATACATCAAAACTGGTGTAGTTTTATGTTTTTGTCTATCTCAGTACAATCTCCCTCAGATTAATCTGTTAAGCATACTCGGACGGAACTTTTAAATCATGCAAGCGAATGCACATCCTTTAATGCTGTGACAAGACATTCATATCATTGGCAAAGCTATTATCAAAGCACTCTTGGCCCATTGCTTGCATGACGTGAATGCTCCTTCTAAGTTGTAAACGTTTGTGAAGATATATTTTGATCAAACATTCTTCGTATTTTCATTATTATTTTAAAAATAATCGAACTCAAAACTCTCTAATCCTCTAAATTTTTTATCTATTAGAGAACAATTGGACTTAATTTTGCAATTTAGAAGTATTTCTGACTCTGTTTTGACACAACGTATGTGCCTTTAGTTTCCCTATGCACATAAGTGTTTTTACAGATGAGCCGGAAATTGTAGTTACGAATTGCAAAATGCAGTCCAATTTAAGTTAAATTCGGCAGAAAATTTGATGTTTGCGTTTCTGAGGAGAAATTCATGGATAAAGTTGAAAAACGTGTATCGCAGGTCACGATGTTGTTAGGCTCTGATCTCGTTTTACTTTTTTGAAGGAAGACTAACCAACAGTTTTGATATAAATTTTCCGGGAATTTTTTTCATCCTCTCTAAAAAAAGTCACACAAAATTTTAAAGAAACATTTTTTTTTGTTTTTTCTTAAGAAAATAAAACATAATCGAAGATTCTGAAATGTGGCAATTGAGTGATAGGTTTTTTTATTTTAGCAATCGAAATGCTCTATAGCATCCCGAAGAGGAAGTTTCATTTCCATTACAGTAAAAAGGGAGGGCGAAGGAGAGGCTACAGTGTAAGATTTCAATCTAACAATTCTAAGTTTTGACCATGAAAGATAGAAACTTAAAGACCTGCTCACGGAAAATCCGATCTTTGAAATTCAAACTTCAAACCATCTTCATGGCAGTTTAGTTTGACTTTTGAAAGGGTCAGAGTTAAGTGGGCACGATTGCATCTCAATTTCGCTAAGTTTTATTTGAAGTTATCAGGTGCAATTTTTTTTGGAGAAAATTTGTGAATTTTTTTGTGAAAGGGGCCTAAAGTTTTTATCTTTTATCCTCTCTCCTCCCTGGATTGTCACAAAAATTCAAGTCTTATTTTCTCTCCTGTGAATCTCAGTGTTGGTGAAGTTGTAATTACCTTTGAATTTCAGCTCGAACTAGAGAAAAGCGATATTGGGCTCGAGTTGAAGGAATTAGAATACGCAGCCCATCTAACGCAACAAGCTGATGAAGAGGCCGTAGTGAACAATATGGTGAATTTACATTTAGACCACGGAGAAACTTCCAGGTAGGCCCTAGTTATACTGCTTGGAGCAACTGCTATCATGTTGTCGGTAATTTTGCAACTTTGGAATGAAGTTATGTTCCTTCGTCTAGGACACGTCAAATTGTAATCACGTGAATTTTGTTCACCTCTTAAACATGGCTGCTTGTTTTTCTCAAATTCCTTCTCGCATCCTGCACAGTTTTGCTTCTAGCTCAGTGAATTTGCCGTGACTTGCCGTTTTGCTGGTTTGGGTGTTGCTCTTTTAGTTTGGTGCTGTAACTTTTCTTGCTGTAAGATTCCTTTGATTATACGTTGTACTCCGAAATTTTGAAATCGAGTTATTGACAATGCTTGGAGAACACATGGACAGACACATCTGCCAGATCTAGTGCAGCCTGAAAAAGTTATTGGATATCCTGAATTTCTCACTCTGAGGTTGAAGTCCACAAAAGCATCCAATCTGTGAGAAAGCTTAAAGGATTATTTATAAGCCCTTAAACTTCTGAATTTCGGGTCCGATCCTAGACAATTGTAATATAATTTTCTCAATAGATTTGAGTTTTCTTTTCTCATTTCAAACTTGGGTTAGTGGTGTGACTTTTGAGATTTTTGAGATCCAGTGATTAGCTTGTGACCCAGCCCCCAGATTCTTGGCCCTACTTGTCTATCTCACATTCTAGCTTCACACTGCAGTTTTTTGCATGCTAAGGTAAGTCTGGTGTTTCTCCAAATTTTTTAAGCGTTGGACTCATTATTATTATTTTGCTGTTTCCTATCGCTTTGTTACTGTTTTGTTAATTCCTTTTTTCTTGAGAGCTTAAGCTCACGAAGCCATAGATTAACATGTTTGTATCTAAATGGTGGTAAGTTTGAGATTGAGAATTCGGTTTGCATGGAACCTAATTTTCAAACTCCTTTCACCCCTGCGGAGAAGACCCGAGTGAATATGGAAAATATTTTTGGGCAGGATAATTTTTCTCAGGAAGGATGCAGAGCTTTAAGTTACATCTTCGCTTTTTATTTTCATTCTCTTCACAGTTATTTTCACTAAGTAAACATTCCGCAGTAGCAAAAACCTCTGTTACGTAAAAAAATTCGCTTCCCAGTAAGTACACTTGGTTTTTCTTTAACAGAAACTTTTAAACTTTTTAGTAACAAATATGGAAGGTTTGATGCCTTTCAAACCTTCGATGAAGCAAAAAAAAAAGAAGAAGTTAAAGAATTAGTGGTCTGTAATTTTAAGTTTTTTATACTTCGATTGAAGCAATTATCTTGAGAGTCTTGCAAAAAGTAAATCCTTGTTCTTGCAATATTAAGACAGGAAACAAAGTTTGCAAAGCAGCCACTTTGTAAATATTACATTAAGAAGTCCAGACGATAACTGCAAAAAACTACTTTACTTATCTCCGAAAGGTGTCACTTGATTTAATTCCATGTGTGGAACAATGAATTATAAAGTCTTAAGATATTTTTTGAAAGACTTTTGTAGACATTCTGATCGGTATCTAGCGACAACATCTTAAAAAGTCCATCGAATTTCATTCTAAATAACTCTAAACCTCTGTTTCCTCTTTTTTTTTCAGCTCAGCATATGATTCTTCCAGTGACAGTGAAAGCACTTCCAGCTCCTTGAATGATTTTTCCAGTGATAGTGAAAGCACTGAAAGTGATAGTTCTGTTGACTCTGACGATTACACTTCCAGCGAGGAAGTAGATTAATTCTGCCAGGAAATATGCTGTATTTTTAGGCTATTTACAAATTAAGATCTCGGCTATCAAGGGTTTATGAACTCCAATGACTTAACTGCATTTAAGTGAAATCGAAGAAAAAATGAAATAATCACATTTCACCTCTTTAGAGAGGAAACAAAGTAAGAGCAATAAGTAGTTGCATCATTCCTGTGAAGTATTCAGAGATGCATCGGCATCATTCAAGCTGTTTCAATCAGTTCTCTCAGGAATTTTGTAATACTTCCTCCCATTTGAAAGTAAATTGTACTTGAATCAAATAGACCATTGAAGAAAAAATCACTCCCTTTATTGTGTCTCTAATTTCATTAAAATGCTATTGAAGAAGAAATTACTCCCTTCATCACGCCTCTAATTTTAGTAAAATATTTTTTATTTCAATTTTCTTATATCAGAGTCATTTTGTTTGGTTACCATTTGCAAGAATACTTGTTCTCTTCTTTTACATGACTTTAATTACTTTCTTTAGTGTAGGTACGGGGTGTCAACTGTCATTAAAAACTGGAGAAACCAGAAAACATCAGAAAATCTGATGTCACCTGGAAAAATCAGGAAAATAGGTCATGGGTCAGGAAATTCTGAATGCATTAAGCATTTTCCAACTTGGTGCAAAAAAAAGACAAATTTTAACCCATCCTTAAATAAGTTGTCTCGTAAAATTAAACGACTGTCAGTTTATTAAGGCAAAAAATTCGGAAATATTTTATTTAAAATATCAAGAAAATCCAAAATGGAATTTTAATACACCTTGAGGTATTTCTTCTTTTTTTCTTTGTTGTCTCTGTTATTTTTTTTTAGTTTTAATTTAGGCTTTCAAATTAATTATTGCTGAATTTACTTTTTAGAATGAAAGAAAAAATAATAGCACTCCAATTTTTATCGTTCAGTAGTTACGTTTTTCTTCAATTACGACTGTTTGTTGTTGGTATTTTCAAGAATAGCAAATGCCGGTGCTCAGGAGGTTGTTAGGAACATTGTTTCAAATAATGACGACATTTGGACTGAATTTTGCCATGAGTAACTACAATTTCTGGCTCATGGACAAAAACACCTATCTGCTTAGGGAAAAAATAGCACTTTTGTTGTTTCTACAATGAGCCAAAAATCACTGTTCTTAATCGCAAAATCTGGTCTGTTTACCTGGCATCGAACTCCTTACTTTTCTGCAAGGTGCTTTTAGTGGTGACGTACGTATCGATGGTGGAACTCCCAAACCTTGTATCCCAGTTTTTGACATCGCAGACTTCCTGTTATACTTCATTTTTTAAATATAAAACTACTCAGCGTCAATTCTTGAAAACTGCATGCTCTTTCCTCTCTTTGCCAATGAACCCCTGTGAAAAGTTCATGAAATGATATTGATTTGTTCTCCTTCCAAAAATTAAAACGAAAGCAAAGACTTTCAAACACTGCAAAGGTTATACGTAGACTGGTAATTTCACCGCTGTTATGTATCTTCATGGATGACAGTGCAAGACAGCTGAAAAGACGAAGTTATTCTCTTACACTGTAGGTTGATTTTTATTCTACTTTTATTTCTTTTGGTTTCACAAATTCATGAAGTGTTTGCGCACAGTCAGACCTTACTGTGAATCATCCTGAGTTCTTTCCTTCAAGGCCATTGATTTTTTAAATATTTTATGTGTCCGTTTTCTCAGAGATTTTTCTGAATGTAATTTCTATCGCATTGTCAATAACTGTAAATTGAGTGGCTCCTTATTTTCAGCCCTACCAAAGTTGTTGTAATGATACTAGTTTTTCCAATAATTTTCAACTCAGGGAAAATGAGAAAGTCCTCACTTTGGCTCCTCAGGAAAAGTGAGGTCAACAATGATGCTTACCATGAAAAATAGGATGATTTATATTCTGTGCAATCATGCAAAAAAAAAAAAAAAGACATGGGGAAAAAAAGTTGTTTTGGAAATTTGTTTGTCATCCATTTAGTCACTCAGATTTATCGTTCTCTTTTCAGATAAAGTTAATTGTTGAAGCAAGTGTGGCAGAGTAGACTAATTGAATGCATACCTCTTCTTTATATGTTTTTATAGATTTTTTTTATTTGAATAAATATTTCATTTTTGTGTATTTTCTGATCGTTTACTCATTTCTTGCAACACGACTCATGCTTGGGGTTTTCATTAAACTTGGAACACCCAAGGCAGTGGCCCTCCATAATTCTAATTCTGACGTTTTTTTCTTTTTAATGCAAGAAAATATTTAAACTTTATTGTTGCACTTTGCTGAAACTTTATCGGCATTATGAACGCCTTTTTAAATGAGGGTAAATAACACTCTTTGAAATCGATCATACAACTTACTTGTTAGTTTTGTGCAACCCAGGTAAGTGCAAAGTAAATAGTATTAAAGAGTGTGATCAAGGCAAAAAATTAAATGTACTCAAGCAACTATCGTTAAAGCTGTATAAAAATAAATGGCTTCTTAACACTCAGTTAGAAAGCAATGTGACGACACTGACAACACTACCTGCCCAGCTCAACTCAGACAAGAATGCAGTGATACAATATTTAAACAAATCAAAAGTGAGATCAGCTGATCGAGGGGACGGGAGTCGTGCTAGCAACTGCATCGCGACTTTGTTGGTTATATCCCCCTACTTTCGTCCCGTTTTCGTCACCTGAAGATGGGCATCCTAGCCGAAATGGCCATCGTTATTATAAGGAAAAAGAAAAACTAACCAGTAAGTTATATGCTCTATTTCATCTATTTCAACAAATGTTATTTACAGTCATTTAAAGTAGTGCAAATATTTATAGTTCTAAAAATTCTATGTATTTAGTGCCCCAGAGTCAAAACTTAAATTATCTGAGAAGAATTCTGCAATATCTATACTCATCACCTCTGCAAATGAAGGTATTTTATTTTATTATGTTTATCTATTTTTTCAATTTTTCGTACCAACAAAGAGTGAAGAAACGGCATGTAGTATAAGTTTTATCAAAGAAAGAAAAATAATTATTGACCCTCAAACTTCACTCATTTTGTGAATTAATTTGCAAAACTCAAATTCTCTATTTTACTCGATGATGATGCATTGAATTTAATGAGTGCGTACCAAATGAAACAGTGGGTGTAAGTTCTTAAATGATTTCGTCCTCAAATACCTTACTTCAAATATATCTTTCAGCAACACTACGCAGAAAAGAGGGTAATACAATCATGAAATGTTCATACATTAATTTACTCCTAACTTTCAGTGACCTTAAAATTAAGTCAGGGTGTTAAAAATTACTAAGACAAACTCAATGATCAATTGACTATCAAATCGTTTTCCAAAGTGCTGACAATCCTTATTAATTACACCTTCCACCAGGGAAAAACGCCGTACGAATATTCAAGCGTTGCCAAATTTCCTCCTGTAAAATAATTAATTTAAGGAAAGTTATGATTTGTCCTTGAAATTTTCTGGAACTTTAGGTGAATTTGCGAACAAAATAATTAGAAAAATCGGAAGGGAAATATTGTAAAGTTCACCAGAAAATTCTCGTTTTATCGAAGGAAGTTCGGCAATGCCTGGAGACTCAGGCAGCGTTTTTCCATGGCGCACCAGCGTAGTATCCACTATAAACGAGAGGAAAAAACATGGCAGCGTTGCAGAAGGAAGCTGGATCTATTCGGAAGTGCACTCGTGTGTTGTGATACGGAGTAGGAGTGTGGCGTGCCCCTGAGCTTTCCTGCTCCATCTCTCGGCTCCCGTCAGAGAGAACGGCGTGACATTTCCGTTTCCTTCCCCTAAACAAATTTCGCTCCTCTTCGCCTCCCTATAGTCACCAAACGTGACCAATTTTCAACTCTCCCAATGTCGGAGGATTCGGTTCCGATTGTTGAACCCTTCACCCAAGCAAATCGGATTGCTCAATCATCGACTCGTGCATTTTTTATCGCAGACACTCTTCAAAATTTTGGACTGAAATTCTGTGACGGATCCCAAGTTGCCCCCAGAAACCACCAAGTGATATGCATTCGGGATGGAATCTATGCCTCTTATCCTGAGTAGCACATTGCAACAAAAATATTGAAATTAAATTGCAATTCGATTTCAATAAAATTGTAATTTTTGTACCATTACATTAAAATATTCTTACATAATTTAGTCGATTTTTACCGATTTTAAACAATCAACAAAGTGAGCTTCGTGTGTCAGAAAGATAGGCAACACGCAATGCAACGAAAAATTGCAACTTATTTCAATTTTACCGCAATAAGTTTCAATAAATGTGGTTCCTTCAAATAGGAGCTAGGCAACATACACAACACTGTGGAATTGCAATATTCTTACTATTCAATTGCTACTTATTGCAATCTGTGCTATTTGGATATGGAGTAACTTAATAGAGCGGAATCTACTATTTTTGCGGGGTTTTATACGCTTTTAAGGTGCTAACCTGCTTCGCATTCATATATAACCCAGAGTTTTTTGGCGCTATATGTATGTAGACTCCGGCACCGCATTTTGCTCCTCGATTTAGATTTTTAAGATCGCATTGCTGAACCAATTACTGAGGGCCACCACACTCGGTCTACACACATATCCATGACTAAAATGCAAACCAAAATTTTTGGACGTTTCTCTGGAAATTGTAAAGTAATGGACCGATGAGTTTTACCCGCTAGTTTATTAAAACCGAGGCGCCAATTTTTAATCGAATTTCGAAATTTCTGATTCCTTCATCGTGCTTTACGTCAAGTTTTGATGAAACGCAGTCATCGCTTACTCTGTAAGTGGTATATCGTCACCTTCCAGGCAAAGTATCACAAGCGCCATGCGACGTTTAAAAATTTCCGCCGCCATTTTATTTCTTTACTGAGAAATTGTTGGTTGAATCTGTTTGGAAATTTCACTAAATTTTATCGGCAGCACAAAGAAAATTCAGTGAAATTTTCGGACAGCTTCGTTGAACAATTTCTCTGTAGAAAAATAAAATGGCGGCGGAAATTTTTAAACGTCGCATGGCGTTTGTGATACTTTGCCTGGAAGGTGACGATATTCTGCATTAACTGAGGTTTTCCCAAGTAGACAACAATTTACAGCTCGACGTGAAATTTTGTGAGAAATGCGGCGATACCACTAGTTTATTCTAAAATATTTAGAGGCTCTTAAAGTTAGCTTTGTAATGCTGCCATGATAGGAAGAACGCCGTTTCAGTCTTCGAACGTCGTCGTCGAACTTTTTCGTCCTTTTTTCCCGTCTTTTCGCTGAAAAAATGCTGTCCAGAATGGTGGCGATTTGGCAACTTTGCCCCCCCATTTTCTCAAAAACCGTGCGTATACTCGAGCTAAAAATTTTTACCAGAGTTTTAGGGCATCATAAGGTATCGTTTGGGCCCGGTTTCAGAAAAATCCCCGCTGACCCAAATTGTGCCATTCTTAGCGTCGCTCTTTCCTTCGATAAAATTTGAATAATCAAGTATACTTGTGATTTTTTTTTTTTTTTTTTTTTTAAATTCCTCAGAGAAATTCACATGAAATTTAATCTGACATCCAAAAACTTCAAAGAAAAACTATTCTGAAGTTTCCTTAAAAATGAATATTTTCCGGAGGAAATTAGGCAACGTTGGAACATTTGTACGACATGCCTGCACAGGATGTTAGAATAAAGGAGCACCACACGTCGTTGGTCGCGTCGCGTCGTTGCATCAATCCGAGGCGCCTGATCGTATCGCTTGATGCAACTATTCGTGTTCAGTGAATGTCCGCGTTGCCTATCTGAAAAATTGAAGGCACTCCGGCTTTCCGTGCCCTAGTTGGTAAAGCTACTCCGTTTTCACTCCCGCCGAGATTATTTTTCATCCTTTCGCCCTGTCCATCGTAATTTCGTCGCATTTGAAAATTCCGCATGAAAACGAATATGCTTTTGAAATTATTTTATCGTCAGGAATTGATTTTTCTCTTTCGAATGAACCTTCCAAATTTCAGTTCAGTAGGTTCAACTTTTCATTTAACCTTTTTTCTATCTTTGTTGGGTGGAAATTATTACTGTGTAACCCAAATGGGAAACATTTTCTATACAGTTAAGTAAGTGGAAAAGTTGGTCAAAAAATTGAACCTTGTGGATTGGGCTTTTAGGTAAGGAGTAAGGTCAAACAACTTTTTATAATTGGATTGCATGTAGCAAAAACGAACCAGCGCGATTCCAGTGTTTTCAAAATCGTGCAACTTCTTTCTTTTGTTTTAGAAATACTTAATCTATGTACAGTATTAAAATTATTATTAACACAATTATTTTCCTTTTGAAATTAGGAATTTTTTGGTGGGAAGCAGAAACGATTTGCTAGTCTGGGAGAGTTTTTAGATAATTATGGAGAAGCAACATTTTTACGACACAGTAATCGCGCTGGTTCCTTTTTGCTAAATGCGATCCAATTGTATGTTAAATATTATTCAATTTTTCCTAACCCTAGCCTTCTAAAAAATTGATCTTCAAGAAAAGTTGGCTCGAGTAGTTTATTTTGTTTATTTTTTATCATCAGTTTTATCTAAAATGTCAGAAAAATTAGGAAATTTACCGTCTAAAAGTAATTAGGCTGCCTGGCCGTCTTGAAACATGTCTATCGTTTTGAAAATTTCACGTCCACGACGTGTCTCGTTGTATTGATATGCGCACTACAAACTATTGGGAGTTATGTAGTTAGTCAAAACTACAGGGTGTTTCAGACCACCCGTACCAGGCCTTTTTCTCGGTTGATATAGGTCGCACGAAGTCGGAGACCGCGGGGTTGAATAGGGAATTGACCCCAAGAAATCCGAATTTCGTGGTCCCGAAACCCCCCCCCCCCCCCCTTGGGGGGTAAAGGGGGGGTCACGATGCTAAAAGTCACGGTTCCCGACCGAATTGCGGATAGATCGCATCAGAATTGAAAAGCACGGAAAATTTCACGTGGAATTGACCCCTAAAAATCCAAAATCGGACCATCCAAGGCCCAAAAATGAGCCCCTAAAGAGGGGGACAGTACCCCCCTCTATAATTTCTCTTTGGTCTCAAAATTGACGTAGATTCTCCAGAAAAAGACAGTTTCCCAGGTAATCGACCTCGATAAATCCAAATTTCATGTTCCCTGAGCTCCTCGGGGTCGATTACATGGGAAACCGTCTTTTTCTGGAGAATCGACGTCAATTTTGCGACCAAAGAGGAATCTTGAGAAATTTTTGGCAGGGGCGGAGCCCCCCTCTTCTGGGAGTTACTTTCTACCGTTCAGGGGGTCTATTAGAACTCTTAGGAGTCACTTAAGATGTAAATGTGTTCTGCTCCTCAATTTGGATGCAATCAATTTGCGATTCGGAAAGGAGCCCCGATTTTTAAAATTGGGCCCCCCCGTTTACCCCCCAAGGGGAGCTAGAGGAGCTTCGGGACCATGAAATTTGGATTTATCGAGGTCGATTACCTGGGAAACTGTCTTTTTCTGGAGAATCTACGTCAATTTTGAGACCAAAGAGAAATTATGGAGGGGGGGTACTGTCCCCCTCTTTAGGGGATCATTTTTGGGCCTTGGATGGTCCGATTTTGGATTTTTAGGGGTCAATTCCACGTGAAATTTTCCGTGCTTTTCAATTCTGATGCGATCCATCCGCAATTCGGTCGGGAACCGTGACTTTTAGCATCGTGACCCCCCCTTTACACCCCAAGGGGAGGTGGGGGGGTTTCGGGACCACGAAATTCGGATTCCTTGGGGTCAATTCCCTATTCAACCCCGCGGTCTCCGACTTCGTGCGACCTATACCAACCGAGAAAAAAGCCTGGTACGGGTGGTCTGAAACACCCTGTATATGAATTGAAGTACCAAAAATAAATACCTTTCTCGGAACTTAAATATTTGATTGGATCTGCTCAAGGCCAAAAACGCAAAACAGGAAATGAAGTCTATTGAAGGTACTTTTGCCAGAAAAAGCTTTTTGGCGAAGTCCGCGATAAAAAAGCAAAGGTTTGCAACAAAAAAGTGACAACTTATTTAATCTTGCCTTGTAGCACCTTTTTGAAATGAGGATACTACTTGTTCTTGTGAGAGGAAAATGAACGGCGCGTATTTCCTTTAATCAGGTATAGCGAGAGATAGATCACCGGTAAACATCCCTGCTCAATACAGAGGTGAGTGTATGAAAAACTTTTTAGGGAACCCGTTATCATTGGACATATTGGCGAGGAAAAAGTTTTCGATATGCAAACAAAAAAACATGCGTCAGAAAAGTGACTACTGAATTTGCTCCTTTTAGTCGTAACAAACGTTTTTTCGCATCTAGCTGGGTTAACCATGAGATGCTAAGCCGGGTCAAATTTACCCGAGGCTTTTACTTTAAACACGCGGGTTGTATGGGACCGGTATACACGAGCATTAGGTCAACAAATTCATCGTAAAAAAAACCAGACATTTAAAAAAAAAATAGTAATAATAATAAAAAAATAAAAATAAAGTAAAGTCAAGGGTCAGGGAATTTTCTTGACAACTGCTCCTAAAAATCCCAAGCCGGATCAAAGCTGTGACCCAACTATCTCCTCCGGGAGAGTTATGATGTTGGCATATAAGAGCTCTATTTATTGGTCAAGTACATCCTTGAAAAAGAATCAGACATCAAATTGGAAAAAAGAAGAAGAAAATCGAGTGTAACCACAGCTTGAGATAGGAGAGACGTAGTCAGGCCTCTTTTTCAAACTTTTATCCCGAATCTGAGTTGACACCTCGCGCCTTCAATTTTGCAGACGCAACACGGACATCCATTAAGCACGAATAGTCGTATCTCTGCGCCGTCAGCAACGCGTATCCTTTTCCTATAGCTCTACTTCCAAATTGCGTTTGTTTCCGTTTGTCTTGCTCGTAGTGGTGATTCAAGTGCTACTTGAACAACCCAGCCGCAGATAGGAGAGCCATAAATTCTCCTTTTTTCAACTTTTCTTCCAAATTTGAGTGATACTTCATCGGCCTCATAGAACGGATAATTGCGAAATGACGCTTCGCGCTATCGCGCCTTCAATTTTGCAGACGCAACACGGACATCCATCAAACACGAATAGTTGTATCTCTGCGCCGTCATCAACGCGCATCCTTGTGCATGTTTTATTCGTGTATGTGTATGTTTTATTGGTTCCGTTTATCTTATTTGTAGTGCTTCAAGGGCTACGTGAGCAACACAGTCGAAGATAGGAGAGACATAATAGAGCCTCATTTTTTAACTTTTTCTGTGAATCTGAGTGAAAGTCTGGATTCTCTTTTTTCACCGAAAGCTAAGTGGAGGGTCTCTCCATAGAGAAAATAAGAATCTGTATCTAATAGCAAAAGCACGTGACTGCATGATCTTCTGGCCCTTGCTTTTCAGCCAATCAGACACCCGACGACTACTTTTGAGTTCCTCGCGGAAAATGACTCAGGAAATTGGAACCACTTATATATTTTTTAAATTCAGCTGATTTTTCGGGGGAAATATCCATGAATGACTTTTGGAGGATTTGGCGTTTCATTTGATGTATTAATAAATTCTATTTTTTTTTTTTTTTTTCCATAAAACACGAAAGATCTTGATTTTTGAAATTTCAATTTTCTTCCATTCGAGTCAGCGGGACAGTCAAAAACATCGACCCGAGGGGGAGGGAATTGAAATTTCAATAATCAAGATTTTCGGTGTTTTTTGAAAAAAGTGGAATGTATTAATACATCAATAGAAACGCCAAATCCTCGAGAAGTAGGTCATGGAAATAATTTTTCCGAAAAATCGGCTGAATTCGAAAAAAATCAGTCGTCTGAGGTCTGATCGGCTGCAAAGCAAGCGCCGGAAGACTATGCAGTCACGTACTTTTGCTAGGAAGGGATTCGAACGACCAATTATTAAAAAACCGGTGTCGATTCGATCGAAATGAATCGATCGAAAAACCAAAACGTGAACTGATGGGCGTGATTCGATCGACAAGTCCTTCAGTCGATCGGCAAACCGTGAATCGATCAATAAACCAAAGCGTGAACCAATCGACTCACACATTTGTCCATCGATTCACGGGTTTGTAGATAGACTCACAGATTTAACGATGGATTCACGGTTGTCGGTCGAATGGACTCTGGTTTTTTTAAAGTAATTGTGGATCGAATGAGCATCGATAGATTCATGGATTCACGTCCATCGACTCGATATCCTCCCTTTTTCTATTCCCTTTGGGATTTTTCTATTCTCACGGCAGAGACTTGTCCCTGCGGTGTCTCCAACGTCCTCAATCTCTCGGACCTCTCGACTCTGCGAAAAAGAGCGCGAGTGGAATGATGCAAAAGCCTCTGAATAGATAGTGTCTGGACTAAGCGCGGCGTGGCGCGGCGGGAAGAGACCGGAACTACCGGAAGCGGGCTGCGTGGCTTGCGGCGTGCGTGGCGACGCGGGCGCATGCGTGGGCGGCGGGCGTCGCGACGCGGCCGAAGGGCCCGCGGACGCCGGCAGTCCCGCCGCGACGCAGCCATCGCCTCCGCGTGCCCCGAGTCCTCGAGCGATGTCCCCTCGTCGCGTACCCTCCCGCCCCCCGTGGCACACCACCGCGGACAGTGCACCCGCATCCCATTCCCGCCAACTCTGAAGCCACCCCCGATCCAATAATACGCCGCATTTTACACTTTTCCAACCTCCGTAGTGTCGTATTTACGTGACAGTGTGCGTTATTCGGATACGTCGAGCTCAGTGTAAACACTAAAGAATCCCAGTATGAAGCCCTCAGGATTCCTATTTCTAAAATTTATTTTTCTGTACACTGAAAAAAAGTAAGGTTGAATTTACCATTCCTCCACGCTGTGTTTCACACAGCGTCAATTCAGAGTGAATTCTGCCGGATAAAAGGTAAACGTTACCATATACTGGTACAGGTAACCACTCCTCTGGCAGAATCGACCTTGAATTCACGCTGTGTAAAATACAGCGTGAAGGAATGGTAAATTCTACCGACCTTTTTTTTTTAAGTGTAAAAATTAAAAAAAAAAAAAAAAACAGTGTAATATTATAACATTATAGCTGTCGGATTTACAATTTTTAACGTAAATATAGCAGGAAAGCTCTCAAGAGTTTACGTTGTTAATTTTTTTGGTGAAAAATACAATGAAAACAGTAGGGTGTAAACATCGCAGAGTGAAGTGGGATTTTAAATTTTTTATTAAAATTTAGAGGGAGTTATTTACGTGATGCAGGGTTGCCACAGTCAAAAAATACCGGAAAAACCGGAAAATGTCAGGGAATTTTTAAAAGTCAGGGAAAATGACGAAAGTGTCACGGCCAAATTATAAACTTAGGAAAAATCTCGCTTTTTGTCAACCAAAAATTCACTCTTACGATACGCCCTAATTATTCACTCTTTTTCCACTTTGTTGAATTGATGACGTTAAAGGGTGAAAACAGTGCCGTATGAACATCATCAGTATTAAAACAGTATAAAGTCATTCGAAAGGTTTTCTTTATTCTAACGATATCACATTAACATCGGTATACACCGATGACTAAAGTCGAAATATGCCGACAATGAAAATCATTGCTCACGTGTCATTTTTTCAAAGAAAACTAATCTGCAGTTTTTCTTGAAACTGTTCGCTAATATTCTTAATTCATTAAAAATATTAGCAGAAAATGTAAAGGAGATAGTCTTGTTGATTTTAGTATTGAAAAAATACAAGATGATCGGACATCTTTAAAAATTGTAATGAAGATACGCATTTTTCGACTTCAGGCATCGACGCCATCATCGCGAACCATCATTATGAGCCGAGAACAATTGATCATTTGCGTTCGTCACAAAATTGTCTTCAGATAGTTTAAGCTTAACGATAGACAAAACATGAAAAAATCGTCAAAACATCAAGTTTCCACATCCAATAAGAACGAAGGTACTGCTCATGGAAAATCATGCATGGCATATGACTTGATCCATTGCTGGAGCGCATAGCATCGATCAGAGATACACACACATTGACAATAGTGCCGTGCTGAGGAAAAACGCCTTATGAACCTTCTGGCGTTATCCAAGTTCCTTTGTTAAACACGAATTTCCTGGTAAACTTATGAATATTTTCCTTCCAATTGTTCGTAATTTCACCGAGAGTCCCTGAAAATTTCAATATTCATAACTTTCCTCAAAAATAAACATTTCATTGAAGGAGATTTGGCAACTCTTGAATGTTCATCCCTAGCACGGCAGAATAGTTACTGGACGTGGAACACGGATAAAAACAAGTTAGGAGAGACCAACGTGTGCACTACCGAGGTGGATGACGTCATATGATGTGTGTTTCCAATGATATTTATATTGGACAAAAAAACTGCATGTGAACGGTTTTCATCACTTTCTTCCGATGTATTTATGAGCCTAACGTATCAAAACACAATTGGACGTATTTATGCTAAAAGGAAAGAAAGACGTGTGGGAAAGATGGGGTGTGCTCGTTTGTGCTGAATAAGAAACTATTTAAAAGTGGGCGTGATTCCTTTTCGCAAAATGGAATGTTGGGATTCTACTTTTAGACCACATTCTGCAACAAGGAGCCACTATTCTCGGCTCACTTTAGGAGCATCACATGGTTACATTTTGCAAAAAGGAACCACTATCTTTGGCTCTCCAATAAAAGCACATATCTGCATAGGGAAACCAATGGCATGTATGTTGTTTCTAAAATGGGGCAGAAATAGTGGTTCCTTATTGCAAAATGTAATCCACATATGCCATTGGTTTCCCTGTGCAGAAAGATGCTTTTAGGGAAGAGTCAGAGATAGGAATTCCTTATTGCAAAATGCAATCCGTTGTATCAAAAGGAACCTAGCGGCAAAATATGCTATAACTCATGAGCCGTGGGCATATGATGAAGAGCCTTGTGGACAGGGCTCACGAGTTAAAGACTCGCTGGCGTCACTGGCGCTTTATACTTCCCATTCGTTCTTACGACCCTCAAATAACGAGCACACTCCTTTTTTCCCACCCGTCTCTGATTCCAATTACCTAAATACGTCCAACCATGTGACTAGCCCAAGCGACCATTGACGGCACCCGTGAGCTGATTGTTGGAATCGATAGACAAACAAGACATACCTAAGGAGTATGGAGCGGTCCTATTGGTTGAAATGTGTGGTTCTTATAGACAAAGTGAGAAAACGATGGACTAACCAATGGGTCTGCCGTTAGTTAGTCTAACACCTACTCCTTTTGTCCATTTCAACCACCTGCTTCAACCAACAGGATGCCTTCATATCCCTTTCGTCTTTTTTGTCCATAGCTTTGTCTATACATTTCAATAATGACCCCTGAGGAAAATAACGGATGCAATGACAAGGTAATAAGCGGGCACATTTTCCGAACGCTTTCAGGCTGATCAAGAGAGAAGGGAGTTTGTGAGAGGGAAGAATTGCGAGAATCGCCGGGGCGGCGCGGCCCGAAGATGGATTCAGGACCCCGAAGTGCGGGCGGCGCAAACGAGGTGTTAATCTTCTCGGATGTCGAGTTAGGAGAGGAGGAGGCCGACCCGTAACCCCGTCACTTTCGAGCCCTCTGCCCCCCCCCCCTCGCGCGGAGCCACCTGTTCATTTCTCCGAGTGCGCGCTGCGTTTTTCGGGTTGCGGTTGAGATGCGGACTCAGGACGACAAGTGGACATGACGCAGCGTGAGGCCTGACGGGAATCACGCCTGTTTTTCCGGCTGGATCGTGAGCATGCCCTGAGAGCCACGAGCAGGATGCCGGTTCGCAGGGGGATCATCGCGCCACGGACCACCATCATCGAGACCATCATCAGGAAGTTCAATAGACAGAGTAAGTCACTCGTCCTTCCTTTCAACTTCAGGCTTTCTACTACCTCATGTAGCATTTTTTCATACAAAATCCCCATGCTTTGATATTGAGTTGTGAGTCTTTTACGATTTTTTGGCCGTGAAATTGCTAGGATCATCGGCATATGAGCGATAATTGGATTGCATTTTGCAAAAAGGAATCACTAGCATTGCAATGATGCTAAGATTGTGCAACTTCTTTTGTCTTGGAGGAAAAACCCGATTATCCATTAATAGTTTCTATTTTACTCGCTAAAAACTGTAAATTTAAGACAAAAATTACCATCTAAATTTCATAGTTTTTCACGATTTCCGCAATTTTATTGCAAAAGATGAAGTTGCACAATCTTAGCATCATTGCAATGCTAGTGGTTCCTTTTTGCAAAATGCAATCCAATTATCAATCTTGTCGCCATTTTATCGCTCTGTCGAGGGCAAATAGTCAAATCAGGCAGTTTGTCAAATGCTTAGGCAAGTGGTCTAATATTCTTGTTTAGATTGAAATTTTGATTTTTTACCCTAATTTTAGACAGAATAGTTCGTTGCTCCTGTAAGAAAGAATTTTCCGTAAAATTATGCAGCATCCAATAGTACTTTAAACAGGGGCGTAGCTAGGAAATTTTTCTGGGGGGGGGGGCATGGGACCACCTCTCGTGGTGAAGAGAGCGGGGGGTGAGGAATGGAGGATCCCGTTTTTCTGGGGGGGGGCGCGAGATTTCTTTTTTTCCAGCCCCCCCCCCCCCCCAGGACCCCCCTAGCTACGCCTATGACTTTAAACGATTTTAAGATCCTGAATGTGCATTTCTCATGAAATGTTCAGCACGTCATAAAACATAGCATCTTCAAAATTTTAACATTTAAATGTACTAAAGCATGTAAAAAGGAAGGAGCAAGAAGAGTTCGCGAATTTAATGAGATATTCTTCCCAAAATATTGAAAACCCGTGAACTCCTCGCCATAAATTTACAGAGTTCTGTAAACTGTCAAAATTCGACTACCAGCCTAGGCATTAGGCATTTGATAAAAGGCCTGATTTACCTAGGTACTTGCTTTCGACATCTATAAAATCGCTTTTGATAAAATCGAAATTTTATCTCAATTTGCGATGAATCGCCGTTGATAAAATTGCAAATTTATGCGATGAAATCGCAATTTTTTATCCGATACTATTGCAATAAATTGTCATCGACAAAGCCGCGATGCATTCTTCAAATCGCAACTAATCGCGATCACTGCTACTTGGGACCGGGGTAAACCCTAGGAGCGAAATTTTAAGGGACACTTAGAAAAAACAAGGGAATTTGACGTTGACTTTGTCTTTTTCCTCTTCAGCCTGTGTCACATTATCAAAATACTCCATCAAAATATCACGGTCAGGTGATGTGATTGGCTCATTCGACAACTTGGACCAATCACAGCACTTGAGCTCGACATTTTGATGGAGTAATTTGATGAAGTGACAAGGCATTCGTTTTCATGCTCTTCTTCTTTTGCATTTTCGAGTTATTGTATCGCTACAAGCTCTTACAAAAGCAGCACAAAGAGATTCCCCTTCATCTGACAAGGTAGGCAAAATCGGGATCTCAGGATCAGTTGGACTGCATTTTGCAATTTGGACCTATAAATTCCGGCCCGGTTTAAAAACGACGTATGTGCCATTAGTTTCCCTATGCACATAAGTGTTTTTTCAGATGAGCCAGAATTTATAGGTCCAAATTGCAAAATGCAGTCCAGTTAAAGTGTCATCTGAATAATCTAGACAGGGATGAACTGCATCTTGTGTAAATAACCATTAAGAGCACCGTGACGCTTACGAAGGGCATTGACAACTGTAACCGCTTGAATACTTTACAGCTGTAACTCAGCGACACTGCTTGGACTATGTTTTTTAAGGAGAAAATGAGATCAGCGCATTATTGCGGATTTTGTGCGACGTCGTTCCATCAGTCAGGAGATGACGTGTGCATCGTAATTTTTTTTTATATTATCCAACAATTTCCGGTTGTTGATGGATAGTGCTTAAAAGTTTCAGTTTTCTTTTCTTTTTTTCTTTTTGGAAGAAAAAGAGATGATGAAAATTGCGTATTTTTAACCGAACTGCAAAACTTTTCATCGAATTTGGTCGTTATCCAACAAAAACTCGAGCATTTATGTCGGCCAAAAATTTTGCCTCACAAAATTTTTTTGATAGATTACGCAAAAATCTAGTAATTTACAGTAGGCACTGTTTAATTTCTTCTTATGCTTTCTTACACCGAAAACCAAACACCGCTCTCTGACTCGAAAATTTGCGAATAAAATCTTTATAAAGCCCACAGAAAATTCTCCGCAATTTTGAAAGTATTTTCGATCATAAGTTGCTGTTTGAAGAAATAAACATTAGAGGAAAGTATGCAACATGAAATGGAGTTAGGCTGAGCCCGATTGAATGCATTTAACTGTGTTAATAACCCATTGATACGTCGGAGAATAGCAAGTGCATCCGCTACCACCACCATACATATGTCAACAAATGCAATAATTGGTACTGCAATTAGCACCATTCACAAATGGACGCATTTCTGTCAAACGGAACTATGTGCATCATAATGTGAGCCCTGTTACACATTTATTCTTATGGGACGCAGGGCTCATGCCTTGATGCACATAGTTCCGTTTGATAGAAACACGTCCAAATGGGCCACTAGACAAGGTCTGAACTAGATTAAAAACGTAACATGTTTTCTCTTCAAAACCTCATGTAGAAAACAACTGGACCGGGTTCGGCTGAGGGGAACTACGCCACATCACCTCTTGCCAAATTTAATTCGGCATTTTTTCTTACAAGAAAACGTTTGTGCGGATTCTTTTGAAAATTTTAAGGAATTCGCTTCGTACTATGCAGAAAATTCACTGAAATTCGCACAAAAATCCGCATAACCGTTTTCATGTAAAAAATGCCATTGCCCAATTGAATTTGGAAATAGATGATGCTGCTTGGTTCTTTTCTACTTGACGTGGTCCAATTCACACAACCGAAAAATCAAATGAAATTTTAAACGTTAGCACTTTTATATTGATCAGGAGTTTATTTCTAGACTTCTGTATTGTAAATCGTTTACTTTGTGAAAATTTGAAGAAGAAACATGTTGCACATAGTATTTTGCTTTGTACCTCGTTTAGAGGCGCGTTATTCGCGAGAACATAAGGAATGTATCGTTTCAAACAATGCGCCTTCCGCCTTGTAGTGTGATTTCTTGATACCACTATTCCACCGTGAAGGATGCCGCTTTTGCCTATCCTTTCAGATGAAGGAGAAAAAGTTGGCTACAAGAATCCTTTCGATCAGAATCTCACATATTTTTACATAGAGTTGCATTTCCTCCTCCTTTTACTAACAACGCTCCGTCAGAGACTCAATTATTCGCGCCTCGATTTTCCGCGATTCAAATATCCGCGATTTGAATTATCCGCGGTCATTTTTTTGCGACGATGTTATTCCCTAGCACGATAGTATGAAGATGCTCTGCTTATGCCCATATTGCCGTGCCAAGGAGAAACGACATATGAGTCTTCAAACGTTGCCAAATTTCCTGTGAAAAACCATGAATTTTCAGGCAACTCTAAAAATATGTTTCCTCCAATTTTTCAGAGAATTCAATTTACGATTAGATCTAAAATAGAGGAAATATTCATGACCCTCTTAAAAATAAACATTTCATCGGTGATATTCGGCAACTTTCGAATGCTCTTACGACGTTTTTCCTTAGCACGGCAATATACGCCTCGATGTTTGTATGGATTTTTAACGTACAGTCTAATCTACGAAATTGAATGTTGTTCAATGTACGTTGCCAATTTGTGGGATTCGACGCAGATTGCTACTGAAATAGAAATTTGAACGTCGCACAGTGAATTGAGTCAATCAGGGAGGTCGGACATAAAATTTTTGACTGAAACTGCGAATTTTGATGTTGATTTCGTCACATTTTAAATTATAAGGGGCGTTCCTGGAAGAAAATTTCGCGAAGAAACCAATGGAGCCACTTTTAAAACCTCAAAATTTTGTGTAAACGGAGTTATAAGTTGTTAAAGTTTCCAAATTATGTCCGACCTCTCCTATTGACTCGATCCACTGTGCGTCGCAGCCGCCTAGTGTGAAATTCACACAGCAAGGAGTCTTGTTCAATTGTGTCGGATGTTGGCAATACGTCAACAATCGAACCTAATCCGCGTGCAGAAATTCGACATCTGCCACGGAAATTCTCGAAACCCAGAGCAAACGAGCCGAGTTTCGTAATCCGACCTGTCAATGTTTTGTCTGAGAGACCAGCCTCCCTTGAACTGAAAAATTTAACTCCATTCAAACGCTACAAAATTTTCTCTCCAAGTCTGGCGTCTTATCAGGAAACTGTCGATCACTTTTAGTTGAAAATTGCACTAATTTTTCTTCGCAATTTTGCTTCCGATGACTTGGAAAACCCAGCAAAATATTTAATAGAAATGTCATAGCCACTTTCGCAGAAGAAATGGAAAAATTGGAATCATTTTGGTAACCTTGGAGTAGAGTTACGTTTCTCTTTTTCAAGACGGCGACATGGACGTCATTAAGCCAAATTGACGTATTTATGCTAAAAGAAACTATGTGCTTAGGGTTTGCGCGAAACATAGTTCTTTTTAGCATAAATAGGTCCAAATTAGCTCAACCTTCATCATACATTTCCGAATTAGACTTCATTTTGCTATTAGAAACTATAATTTCTGGCTCGGTTTAGAAACAACGTATATACCGTTATTTTCCAGCAATTTTTTAGGTTTTCTGGGTTATTTATTTATTTTAAAATTCTTGTACATTAAAGCTGCAATTACAGCCATAATATAGGTCAATAACAAATGAAAATATTATAAATAATAATATTACCATAAAATACTCCTTATAAATAAACATATTACTTGAGGAAATTCGGCAACCCTCGAATTTTCATATGGCGCTCTTCCCTAGCA